AATGCAATAATAATGGAATCTTCTGAAATATAGGGTTTCAACTGCGGAAAAGGAAACAATGTATGGTTTATTACATTATTGAGAGAAGTAGGGGTGTCAGAACATATCAAACCATTGCGAAACAAGGGGTGACAAGACTTAGTTTTGAGTGTTTTAAAAACACAACTCACAAATTCGAGACCAACTACCCCGTTACATATTACTTAGTAATGACGTAACTGATATTAAGTAACCTGTGACCATGTTACGTCATTCACGACTCCGAATTTAGCTTTTAGGCTGAAAAAAAGTGTGAACACTTTTCATGAACGTGACGGACGGGTGGGGGGGGGGGGGGGGGGGAGTGGTATTGTTGTTGTTGTTGTTACGACTGTATAATTATGAAATAATTATATTGAATTTTCTAAAAAGGGGTGTAAGTCTACGGAAAGTAGTAAACTAATGTTGTTAATTAAAACATCCATCGGTAATTGAAAACCAACCATTATATATTATTAATCAAACCCAAATCCAAGCTATACCATAGCCTTAACCCTAAACATAGCATCCATTACTGTAATACAATGGTTCACACATCATAAGACTCCTCTTTTAGGTAGAGTCTATTAGTTTGATACCAATATTAAGAATTTCTTTTATGACAGGTATACAGGACAAACCATCTTTGAGATAAATAGGGGTGACAGAAAAGACCAACCCATTTCGATGAAGGGATGACAGGATTTACAGTGGCGTAGATAGGGGAGGGTGGGTGGGGCGGCCACCCAGTGCGCCGAACCCAAAGGGGCGCCAAACGGGGTAGAAAAATTAATTTAAAAGCTCGTTTTAAGCTGAAGTATTGAATTATACAAAGTCACATTTACGAAACTAAACGACTGCAAGGCTTTACACACTGATTTAACTGTTTTCTATTTCATTTTTGAGGCACCGAATTATAAAATTTTTACGGGATAGTAACTGGTAAAAAGCGCCACCAAGCTTTTAAACTAGAGGGTGGTGAATTCTGCTACTGGCAATAGTCAATTATTATCAAGTGGAGGACCGGCTTCAGTCTATATTATTTTGCAACTTTAATGATTGAAAGGCAAATTTATTATAACCAGTTAGTTACTTTTGAAGGTGTTTGTAAAAAGATAATGATGTACAAGTAAAAATGACATACTTCTATAGGTGGATATTATATCTTAAACATACTCTTTTACTACTCTAGTGGAGGGTGTACAGGACAAACCATTATTAAAAGAGGTAGGGGTGACAGAATAGATCCAACCATTGTTTAAGTAGGGATGACAGGATTTATTTTGAGTGTTTTAGAAACAACTCACATAATCGAGATCAACTACCCCGTTATATAATACTTCTGAATGACGTAACTGATGTTACGTAACCTGTGTACTTATTACGTCATTCACGACTCTGAACGGTGAACAGGCTTCACGAAAGGGACAGAGAGAGAGAGAGATGGGAAATGGAGGGGGGGGGGGGGTGATTTTGTTGTTGTTGGCACAGCTGTTCAATAAATATGGAATATTCTTTTTAAAAAAGCAGTGTTAGGCTACGGAAAGTAGTAGGCCTAACCTATTAGGTTGTTCATTAAAACATCCTTCGGTAATTGAAAGCTAACCATTACATATTATTAATCAAACCCAAATCCAAGTCATGACAAAGCCCAAACCTTACTCTTTGCCCAAATTACTGCATGTGATAATAAGAAGATTCTTTCATTATAACACACCTCTTATAGGAAGAGTCTATCAGTTTGATACCAATATTAAGATACTTTTTTTTAAAGTGCGCGTAACTATTAACAATCGATTAAATAAAAATGGGGTTACAGAACCGATCAAACCATTGTGAAAAAAAAGGGATGACAGGACTTCATTCTTGAGTGTTTTAGAAACACAACTCACAAATTCGAGACCGACTACCCCGTTACATAACACTTTATAAAGACATAACTGATGTTACGTAACCTGTGACCTTATTACGTCATCCACGACTCTGATGTTTAGCTGTCAGTCTTTTTAAAAGTGTGAACACTTTTCATCAACGAGGAAGAAGGGGGGGGGGGGGTGTTTGATTTAGTTGATATTAACACAACTTTATAAAAAAATATGGAATCTTCTGAAAAGGGGTGTTAGTCTACGGAAAGTAGTAAACTAATGGTGTTTATTAAAACATCCATCGGTAGTTGAAAGCCAACCATTATATATTATTACTCAAACCCAAGTCCAAGTAATAAAATAGCCCTAACCCTAATCATTGCCCAAATTACTGTAGGTAATAATACAATGATTTCTTCAATATAACACACCTCTTATAGGAAGAGTCTATTAGTTTGATACCAATATTAAGATATTTTACAATCGATTAAATAAAAAGTAAGGGTGACAGAACAGATCAAACCATTATGAAAAAAAGGGATAACAGGACTTAATTTTGAGTGTTTTAGAAACACAACCCACAAAGCCGAGACCAGCTTATGCCTGGTTACATAACATTTTCGAATGAAGTAACTAATGTTACATAACCTGTGACCTTGTTACGTCATTTACGACATCGCGTTGTCACGCTGAAAAAAAGTCAACAGTATATTTTGATGAGACAATATAGAAGGGTGGGGTAGGGTTGGGGGGGGGGGGGGGGGGAGGGGGAGTTTAATTTTATCATCACTGTTCAATAATGTCAGAAAAGATCAAGCCATTGTGAAAAAGGGGATCTTCTTCTTCTTCCTTCTTAATTTTTAGTATTGGGAGGGATCGAGCCATTTCTGCCAGATGGTTTGAACTCGAGACTTTTCGAATTTATCAACCATGAGCTTTTGCCGACTCGACCATGCTTCCATCACAATTAAGGATTACGTGTCAACTGGTTATGCGCCATTGAGGCCATTGACTCCGATTTCAGCCTTCTTTTCTTTTTGGATTTGCTTCCATAGCCTTTGTCCAACCAAGAACAAACTACAAGGCAGCAGTTGTTTGATTTTTGAGTTGTCTCTCCTAGAAGAGTGGCTGTCCCCAGCTAACGAGCCTCATCTGCCCGAGGGTTTGAACTCGAGAATTTTCGGTTAAGCTAAACCGAAAAGTCTCGACCACGCAAAAAAAGGGATGACAGGACTTAGTTTGAGTGTTTTAGAAACACAACTCACAAATTCGAGACCAACGACCCCGTTACATAACACTTAGTAATGACGTAACTGATATTAAGTAACCTGTGACCAAGTTACGTCATTCACGACTCCGATTTTAGCTGTCAGGCTGTAAAAAGTGTGAACACTTTTCATGAACGAGAAAGAAGTGGGGAGGGGGGGGGGGGGGTTTCCGTGATTGGCACAACTTTTTTAAAAATATGGAATCTTCTGAAAAGGGGTTTAAGCCTACGGAAAGTAGAAGAATTAAACTATTAGGTTGTTTATTAAACATCTATCGGTAATTGTAAGCCAACCATTATATATTATCAATCAAACCCAAATTATACCAAGTGGGGGGGGGGGGGGGGGGGGGGGGAAGAGTGGTTTTGTTGTTGTTGTTGGCACGACTGTATAATAATGAAATAAATATTGAATCTTCTGAAAAGGGGTGTTAGTCTGCGGGAAGTAGTAAACTAATGTTGTTTATAAAAACATCCATCGGTAATTGAAAGCCAACCATTATATATTAGGGGTCGTCCATAAATGACGTCACACTCGTAGGGGGAGGGGGGTCCGTGATTTTGTGACTGTGTGTGATGAGGGGTGGGGGGGGGGGGGTTCAGATGGTGCGACGTCACACTTTTGCATTACAAAAAAGCAATGTTAGAAAACGAATTTTAGACGTTATTTCGCGTTTTAGAAAACTGTTTTAATAAATTGTAATAGGAATTGATTAAAATCCTCTATTTTTTGACAGAGTCTAGACAAGATTTTAGAAAAATATCGATGTTTTAAAAAAAATCAACTGCACTTTTGAGGGGGGGGGGTTGTAGGCTGAGGTGTGACGTCATTTTAGGGGGGGGGGTCTGGCTTTTTGTGACGACGTGTGACGGAGGGGAGCGTGGGATGTAAAAATCGTCAAAAAAGCGAGATGTCATTTATGGATGACCCCTTAGTAATCAAACCCAAATCCAAGTTATACCATAGCCTTTAATCCTAATCATAGCATTTATTACTGTAATACAATGGTTCACACACACATCATAAGACTCCTCCTATAGGTAAAGTCTATTAGTTTTATACCAATATTAAGAATCTTTTATGAAAGGTATACAGGACAAACCATCTTTAAGATAAATAGGGGTGACAGAAAAGACCAACCCATTTCGATGAAGGGATGACAGGACTTACAGTGGCGTAGCTAGGGAAGGGTGGGTGGGGCGGCTGCCCAGGGCGCCGAACCCAAAGGGGCGCCAAACGGGATAGAAAAATTAATTTAAAAGCTCGTTTTAAGCTGAAGTATTGAATTATACAAAGTCACATTTACGAAACTAAACGACTGCAAGGCTTTACACACTGATTTAACTGTTTTCTATTTCAATTTTGAGGCACCGAATTAGAAAGTTTTATGGGATAACGCCACCAACCTTTTAAACTATGGGGGGGGCGCTTTTTCACAGACAGGAATAACTATATATTAAAGTGGGAGGGAGGGGGCGAAAAATTGATAGTCCGCCCCAGGTGCCTGAATAGGTCGCTACGCCTCTGTACCAATATCGCAAATTCTGTCAATAACCTGTTACCCCACTATTTCAGATCTGAACAAACACTATATACAAGCTGTTAGCCAAAAAACTTTATATATATAAATAACATTTAATAGTACTTTTTTTGTGGGGACAATTTGCGGGTATTAATTTGATTGCTGACACTAATGAAAAATAGTAAACTCATCTGTTCAATGACCTCTGAATATTGAATAGGTCACATTTAAAAAATATATAATAGACTCATTTTTATAATACACAGACATAACTTGGAAACGTTGGGTTAAATTTTTGTTAAATAAAAAAATAACCTTTCCGTTAAATATATTTATTTAACTATTTTTTTCCTGAATTAACACATTATTTTGTTGACTTTATTGATACGACATTGTTGAAAATCAATAGAATTTATTATTATACAACAGCACTATATGTGCTTACATACACAGGTATCCCTCAAGACTAAAAAGTTTTTAAATACATACAATCATTTTTTAATGAGTTACTTTAAAAGTAAAACAAAAATAAAACTTTTTACAAGAAAATAAAACCATCACAATGCAATATTGTATTCATGTTAAATGAACTGGTATACTCATTTGTTTCACTATTATAACCCATCATTTTATATGTTGTTAAACTCTAAAATAGTATCAAAGATATAGGTGAAAATCATTGCATGATTTGCTAAAATAAGTATTTTAGAGAATGAATTATAGACCCATAGTAATTATGCATACTGAACAAGGATTCTATTTTACAATGTATTAACAAAAGAAAAAAAATGAAGGATATCAGAATATGGAGTTCTTCTTTATACAAAAATGTATTGCTTCATATTAATTTATAATTTTAAATAATCGACACCGTGGTATATTAATTTTCCATAAATAATTTGGTTAGGTTTTGTGTACTAATAGTTACTTTAGAGATTTGCACCTGGAAATTTAAAAAAAAATCATAGTAATAGGTGTACTGTGCTTCAATAACCTTGTATCACTTGGAATTGAGAGAAGAATGCTGATATGACTGCTGATTATAAACCTTCTGTAGTTTATATAATACAGAAAAAAATTGTCTAAATAAATGATATTTAAGTACTCAATATGATAAAAGCATATTTTCAACATATTTACATTTTTATTAAAACTATTTTAATATTTAAACAAGTAACAAAAAAATACATTTAACTAGATCTAGATCTATATCTAATTTCAAGTATTTTTACAAGCCTGTTTGCACAAACATTAACTTTTTAGGAAATATGTATATTATTACCAACCGTCTGATATAGTTTATTAAAATACATACATGTACAATAATAAATTAATTTTTGAGTTCTAAAGAAAGGCATACTGTTTATAGAAAGTGTAGCTAATTAAAGATGGATGCATTTTTTCTGAGCAATGCATAATTTTAAAATAATATTACCATTTTAGCACTCAAGCTTAACATCAATCAAATATATTATTTATGTAAATAGCTACATAAAATAAAACTGGACACTAAAGTTAATTTTACAGCTCTTGTCCAAATTATGACAACACCAAACAAATTTTGGTTATGTAAAGATAATTATGTACAACTGAAGCTCATACTTTTCTGAACATAATTCTAATTTAGATAGTTTTGATGCTAAGAGAAATGTTTAAAAACTAAACAGGAGATGACCATGGAAATAAAGAGCAATATGAATATCTGGTATGAAAATCTTGAAGAAAAAGATAATTTGTCTTATGCCTGATTTAACTCAAACACTTCCCATAAAAACTAAAAACTGGTATTTGTTTGACAAAAACTTTCTAAAAAGTATACATTTAAAATATAAAAATAATATCTGTTATTTATAAAATCTTTTTCTAAAACGTTTTGCCATTTTATTATTTTATTTTTTTAAACAATTACGTAAACAGAGACATTAAGTTGTACAAATAGGTAGAATTGATTGATATTCATATACATTTTTCATATGCCATTAAAAATGCAAAATTAAATTTATCTTTTTAAAAATACCAAGCAACTATGCTTAAATTATATATTTTGTGAGCAAATATCAACTTTGTCTTATTGAAAAATAAAGTAAATACATTTGACTGACCAGAATAAATCAACCCATTGCACCAGGATTGATAATAAAGCTATTTGTGCTTATACTTATATACACAAACTATCTTAACATAATTATTTTGAATAGCAAGTAGCCAACATTTAAAAATTAATCTCTGACATGTTATATAACACTTGCACCTCCCTCATAAACAACTAAGGCACTGCAAAAAATCATTTAAAGCTCTTTTGTCAATTTCAAGAAAATTGAATTATTGCAAAAATTAAAATTACTTTTTTGAAGTTAAGTACAAACCTAATTTAAAATCTATTGTAAATAAAACAATTTCACCAACACAAAACAATATTGAACATAAATAGCTTTGAATGTATGGTACATAATAATTGTATAACTAAAACATTAAGAGAGAAATGCTGAGTTGAATCCACTTATGTCTCATCTGTGTTTTCTTTCTTTTTGTCCTTATCTGATATTGGTAATTCTGTTTTCTCACACTGTAACAATAGTTCTATTTGTTGCCTTGAGCTTTCTAAAAATAAATCTAAGCTTGCCAAATGGCGCCTTCGAACTCTCGAGTCAGCCTTAAAAAAAAATTAAAACAATGAAATTAAACGAATAATTATCCAGTGTTCCTACCCATAAAATTTAGCAATGAAAATGGGTGGTAAATATATTCAGTTCTCATTTTATACAGTGCTTATTTTAAAACCTTTAGCTTAATACATTTTATTTTAAATTATGACTTTACAAGTGACATTTTTTATATAACCAAAAAATAAGCTTTAAGATATACATAAAGAACTCAGTTCTAGTAATTTTTAAGTAACCAATAAAATATTTTAATAAATAATCGATAGCTAAAATTTGGGAGATTTTTGATGAACAAACTATGTTCTAATCTCTAAATGATTTCTTTGAGATGTCTAAAGAAATAACAAAATTACCTGTCTTTGTTCATTAATATAAGCTTGTGTTTCCACGCGAGATAACTCCAACGCTTCTCTTATTCCTGCTCTTCCTCTTTCTCTCTCCTCATTTACTAAACGGACTATTTCTTCCTAGAATTGGGAGAATTAAAAAAAAAAAACATTAATGTTAATAATTTCAAAAACTTGATTACCCAGTGAGTAGAGACCCTGACAAAATTAATACTAGTAACTAAAAATAGTTGTCATTTATGAGTTGTATTTTCATACACGTAGAAAACAATAATAAAAATGTATAGTTTAATTTTTTGCTCAAATTTAGGATAATATATTTGTATTACATGTGCAATCTTCTGTTGTTCTTCTCTCGCTGCCTGAAGTGCTAACTCATGGGATTTTTTTTCTTCCTCCAACTTGAGAGAATACTCTGCCTGTAAACAAGTTTAATTTATAACAGAATTATGCATTGCTCCTTCTTCTGCTGAGTGAAAATCTAAATATTATTCATTAATAATGAAACTTTAAAATAATACTCAAAAAAATAAAAGTTAAACAACCATTTAAACAATGTGTGTGTGTATGTATATATATATACATATATATATATATATAATCTAACCTTAATTTCTTCAATGGCAGCTTTTGTTTTTTCTTGTTCAGCAATAACTGCCAATCGAATCTGTTCTTGGCTATTAATCCTTTCCTCCTGTGTTTAAATAATACAGTTATACTGGGTACTTGTTATAATATGCCTTTTTATAGTGTTGCTACCTCTAGCTTACTCTGCCCTTTTACACAAATCATAGCACTAAACTAACAGACATATTTGCAGAAAAACTTCTAAACCACAACGTGAGCATTTTCATAAAAAATTATGTAGGTAGATCAAACTTTGTTCTGAGAAATTAAAAATATTTAAAACTATATTACAATGAATACCAACCTCAACCGCCTTGTTAATTGCTTTCTTTTGCTTTTCCTGCTCTTCCAATAAAAATTTATCAAACTTTTCCTGTTTAAAAAAAGATATATTTTTTATGTATCTAAATCAAAAATAAAACAGCTGAAATTAAATACCCTGATTATTATTTATTTTAACCTGTTGAGTTTGACGTGCTTCATCTAACGACTTTTCTAATGTATGTTGGAGCTCTTGCTTGTCTTCTTCTCTTTGACGTTCATATAATTCTTTCTGGAAAAAATTCAATTGTAAGTTTATTTAATTTGAAATTAAGAAAAAAATATGCAAAAATTCAAAAATAAAATATTTAATATAAAGCTCAAAAGCCATGTCCATAATTATTACTATATGCATAATTTTTCAAATTATGGAAACCATTTTTCATTGGTAAGCAAGATATAAAACAGTTTTTAAAAGGCACTATACATATTTAAAAAACTTTAAAAAGAAAATAACACAAAAAAAATGTTAAATTACTTTTTCATTAATAAAAATTAACCTTGAATTTGGAAATGGTTAACTAATCTAAAAAATTAACAAACCTGAGATTGTAATGTTTCCTGAAAAATTTTCATTTGTTCACGGAGTGTTTGTAAAAGATTTAGCTGAGCTACTTCCTGCTGTTCCAGCACAACAGCCCTTGACTGCTCCTATTAAAAAAAAACAGAATTTACTGCAGTAAGTAGCAAAACAAAATTTATAATTATCATTTTCACTGCAAATATTTTTAAACTGGCCTTTTACTAAAAAACTCTAGCAACTTGTAATTAAGAAGAATACCCACAACGTACTTTGTATTGCTCAACCACCAGAGCTAGTGTGTCATGTCCTGCAGTTCTTAAGCTATCAAGCTGACTCTCTTGAGTGGCATGAACTTCTTGTAACCTTTGTCTCTGCTCTGCTAGTTGTTCCTGACATCTAGAAAGTTCTGCCTCCAGTGAACTGTTTCGTTCCTCTATGGCAGCCAACTGCTATTAGAAATAGCATTTAAAGTGTTTTTAAATCAATGTGTACTGAAACATCAACAACTACTTTAAAAAAGTATTTTAAACTGATTCAATTTGCAGACAAATTATATAAATAATACATGTATATGTGATAAAAAGAAGAGGATGAGAATGTGATATTTCTTTAAGAGATTGTGAAAAGTAAAAGCCCACAGTTAAAAAAAAAAAAAAATCAGATAATTTTTTTACCTCTTGAAATGCTTTGTCTGTAACTCTACTGATGGCAACAGATGCATCAGCTTCAGGAAGTGCGGCAGCATCTTCAACTACCTGATTTTCTTGAGGCTCGGGTACATGTTCAGTATCTAATCTTCTTGGTTCATCAGCAGGCCAAAGATCTCCCACAGCAGCTCCTTCATCTTGCAACAGTGGTGGTAACAGAGCCTCATTGGGCTGTATAGCAGGTTGCTGTTGTTGCTGCTCCTCTTGACTAAACAAACGATTTTCATTGATTCCCAAGCCAATATCTGGCAATCTTCCATTGACTAAACTCTGATGAAATGCTGGCCCTGCACCGGCTAGTAAAGTTCCATCCAGCACATTTTCTGCTATACGAGCTTGGTCAAGTTGATTCTAAAATAATCAATGTAGAATACTTATAAATTTACCAAATAAACCCATGAACAGTAAACAGAATACAATTTCGATAAATTCAGATTTTTCTGCATAAGAGGCCCATACGATTGTATTATTGTTGAACTGTGAAATTATGTTGAAACTTGTGTACATGTAATCTGAAGCCCATTATAAATACAACCACAATCCTCTCAAGGCAACAATCTACACCAAGTCTACTTACTTCTCCAAATAAATCTAGTGGCTGCTGATCAACAATATTTCCAATGGAATTTATGTGTTGGTAGTCCACACCCTCTGCTGATGCCCCAGATATATCAGATGGATCAAGGTAAGTAGGAAACCGGTTCTGAGCACAAAGCAGATCAGGTCTACCGTGAGCACTGCCTAGATATTTTTTGAGTAATAATAATTATGGTGTGTGTATATGTACTTATATACTTATAATACTCAATAAAGCATGCTTAAGTTTAAGCTAAGTACTAAAATAACAAAAAAATATAATTTGACCAATCCTTTGAGAGGTGAGGGAATATTGAAATGGTATAGACAACGTTGCAAATTATTGATGGTAAAGATTTGCTCCAACACGAATTGAACTATTTCACATTGTCTGTTATCTGAATTATTTTTATTTTCTTAAAGTGAATAGATAATAATTCCAGAATATATAATTTCAATGATCATAATTTCAATATTAAAACAACTGGGACGACAGTTACTAAGATAACACTGTCAGTTATATCCAAGTATATTTTTAAAAAATTTCCACTAAGATAAATTACTCATTAATTTATTTTAATTAACATTAATAAAAGTGTATGTTATGTCTGCCTACCTGCATTAAAGATAGCCCATGGTGAATCAGATGGCTGAGCTTGAGATGTGGCCATATGTGGGACAGGTTCTGCAGCCTAAAAATACATTACTGGTATGATTTAAATAATGCACAACAGTTTAATTTCATAATGTGGTTAAATGGAGTATAACTCTTAAAGAAACATAAAAATTTATTGTTTACCTCAAATCCACCAAAGTCCTCAAAGTCGTCATCTCCACTGTCAGCAATCTAGGTAGAATAATACAATTACAGATGTATTTGTATAAAATGTGGAAATTATTTATGGATGATTTTAAGGATAATTTTTTACATTACTCAACTTGTACTGATATAGTGTTGAAGTTAGATATTGTTATGGATGATTCTACTTATTGAACTATGGCTTTTTACCCTACAGTACTTTACAACTTTACTAGTATTACCACTAACTACCAGTGTCTGACAATAGATTGTTCTGAAATAGTTGTTACAATGTTAGTAGCTATTTTTTTATTGGGTTTTAGTGTTAGGATCAGAAAGTTATCTTTATAGGAATTAATATATATTGTCGAGTGGTAAAGTAAGCATATAATTGCTAACCAGAAAGTCTTCAACTTTGGGCTTGAGTCCCATAGGAAATCACTGAGTGTACGCATCTCTAATGCATACCTAATTCAGGTTAGGGAAATTAAAGGTGGCTGGGCAAAGTGCTGACCTATTCCTTCATATGACAAGGTCACAGAAACAGGGGAACTCTACTTTGACTGCCCTCTAGAGAAGTCATGTTCAAAAGGGTACCTCAGTACCTTTGTCTCTATTTTTTTGCTTGACAGTTTAGTTCACTAATGACTAATGTAACACTAAACGTATTTAAAATTTAGGCCCTATACCGGCCTAATAAAAGGTAATCTATCATTTTAGGTACGTAAAATCGGCCAAGACTAGTAATGTGAAAAAATGGTGACTCATTAAAGTTTAGTAATTATTTCACATTTTTAGGAGGATTTATGTTTTGAATGTTACAAAAATGTTTTAAAGTTTTATTAATATACCTGTTTTAAAACAATTGTATTAAAACTCGGAAAAAAATAAAGACTAGAGATGTTTTCATCAGATTAAACCAAGCTCATTTACTTTAGCAGCCATCTTGTTTACGTTTTTTTATACAATTATAGTAAGAGATTCAAGGGAAACCACTCTAACTTACAGATGGCCGCTTTTTATATAGCAAGTCCTGCTGTTTAAAGTTAATTTCTAGCCTATATTGAAATTCAAACTATATTGATATATTTAGCCATTGATTTTGGTTTATTATTCAGTTATCTATAATATCTGACACAAATATATCACAATATACTTCTATTAAAGCCTCAACAATAACTTATAAGGGAACTTTTTCACACATTACTTACCAGCCTCAGCCGATTTATCATTTTACGCACCTAAAACGATAGATTAAATTACCAATTTTTTAAGAAGTAGCTATTAGACTATTTTGGCACTATGGCCTACTTTATATGTCTTTAATTTTAATTCCCTAGTCCATAGCTGGCAGTAGTTGGTTTGGTTTGGTAAGTAATTTTTATTTTAAATATTTTTAGTTCGGCCCTGTGGTTTCTCATTCAATTCAGCTAGCTAACTAGTGTGTTAGGCTAAAGCCACTAGATCTAAATCTGGAGTCATTTTTTAGAAGCTAGCAGGACAGGTTGTTGTTTTAATTCAAAACTGGTCAAGTACTGTAGACTACTGTGTAGTGTGTGTGTGTGTGTAGTGTACTAGTACTGTGTAGAAAGAGGGTAAAACTCCATTTTAGCGTATTTTATTCTCCATTGCTTGTTTACCTCCAGTTGAGCGTATTTTATTATAATAACTGAAACACACCAAAACATTAGGAAAACACGAATTTAATATTTGTATTGTATTGTTGTTTTTCATAAATGAATAAAAATGAATCTTAAAAAAATATTTAAAAAAACACGACTTATTTATTTGTTTAGTATTTTTGTTTTAACAAATGAATAAAAACAACAAAGAGACTGACTGAAATGCTTTGTTTGTTGGTTGCAAAAATAGAGATGCACACTTTGTACAAATAAGTGTTCCGATTTCGACTAACAGAATAAAAGTATTAAAAGGCATAAGGGGTCGTCCATTAATTACGTCACACTGTAGGGGGGAGGGGGGTCCGTAAAATGACAACCCCACATCATTATTTTTTTAAAAGTCAGAAATTTACTCATACAAAAAATCATACTTGATACATAGATCTATATCAAAATATTGGGAAGGATGGTAGATTTACTATGAATTTAAATATTAAATAACATAGGCTACAACTCTATAGTGAAATATTTTTTTCAGTTTTGGCAAAACTGTCAAATTAAAAAACACAGAGTTTGTACATTTATAGCATAAATACAAAAATATCATACAGAATAATTAACAGTGCATCAGTTTCACCATGAGACAAATGCCTTTAAAAAAATACAATACAATAGGCCTAAAAAATAATAAGTCGTGTTTTTTAAATATTCCTTTTTATTCATTTGTGAAAACGGTAATCTATCGTTTTGGGTACGTAAAATCGCCCGCGATTTGTAATGTGAAAAACAGGTGACTCCTTAAATTTTAATAATTATTTCACATTTTGAGGAGGATTTATGTTTTTAAAAATTCAAAAATGTTTCCTTGATTCATTTATGTACCTGTTTTTAAACAATTGAATTAAAACTTTTCCGTAATAAATGAAGACTAGCGATGTTTCCAACAGATGCAACCATGCTCATTTACTATAGCAGCCATCTTGTCTAAGTTTTATTTTTATAAGCTTTTAGCGCCAGATTCAGGGGGAAGCCACTCTATTTTACAAATGGCTGCTGTTTATATAGCAAATCTTGCTCTCAGACACTGCTGTTTAAAGTTAATTTCTGGCCTATATCGATATATTTAGCCATTGATTTAGGTTTATTATTCATTTATCTATAATATTTGACACAAAAGTATGACAATATACTTCTAATAAAGCCTTGACAATGAGGTAACGTTTTCGTACATAAATAGCCGCGGGCGATTTTACGTACCCAAAACGATAGATTACCGTGAAAACAATACAATACAAATAAAAAATAAATAAATCGTGTTTTCCTAATGTTTTGGTGTGTTTCGGTTATTATAATAAAATACGCTAAACTGGAGGTAAACGACAAGCGGAGAATAAAATACGCTAAAATGGAGTTTTACCTAGAAAGAGCTTAGGGCTTAGAGTTTAGAGTGCATACCTCCGGTTGTTGCTCAGTTCTAGCTCTTCCATTATTACCCGACATTATTCAGAACTTTCTATAAAAAAATATAGTTGCTACTGTAGTTGGTAATGCAACACAGCCTTGAGTTGTTACATTGCTTAAGATGTTTAAACTGTTATGTTTAAATCAACAGCTTAAATACATTATTTATGGTTTTTAACTTTAATAAACTAGAAATGTTAGACATTTGTTTTTTCCGGAAGTGTAATGGGAGCTGACATTTTGGATCATGCATACTGGGACAAGTATTGTAATATTTAAAAAAATAATTATGATTTTGTAAAAATATTCCATATTTAAAGATAATTTCTCATGCGCACTAATTTACATTGACTTTGTGGAAAATGCTGCAAAATGTAATAAAAGTAAATCGGATGATCGCAGTTTGACCTTTAGCCCCTCCCTTTCCATTTTTTTTGCCAGTTAGATTAACAAAAACGAGTGCTTACAATTATAATCATAACTTGATAAAACTATACCTATACTTTAAAGCTGTCGTATTATAAGCATTGTTTCAAAATCAAAGTTTTGGGAGATTAATTAATTCCATGTGTTAATTGAAATATTGAAATTTTAAATTAATAAATTCTAATATTGACGAAGTTTTTCATGGTATTTTCTTGTTATAGTCCGTTTTTCAAAATAACACATTTTTTTATATTCTAACATACATTAAACATGTTGGTGCTTCGTTTTTATTTAAATGTTTACTGTTTTATTGAAACATATAAATGCGTATGGGGAAAAATGAATTTGCATTAAAATAAACTGTCTTTTCAAAAATACACTCTCTTGTTGCTGTTTTAGTTTGAACTAACAGAGAAAATGCAAAAAAATCTGGTATTAAATGAAAAAAATCCGTATATACTAAATACCAATACTAAGAAAATAATAATAATTGAACAATGTATCAATATATTTTTACATTTATACTTGAACACTTCGATAATTAATTCGTTCAATAAGACGAACCCATTATTTTTTTCACAAGTTTTTTTTTTTCATTCACCCTGTGACCATTTGGTTGCTAATATTTTGAAAGTATGTATATTAAGACTTAATTCAATGAAACACATTTTAATTTATATAATTTATTATAATCTACGACTACGATCCATGTTTATTTAAGAATCCTGTATATATATATATATATATATATATATATATATATATATATATATATATATATATATATATATATATATATATATATATATATATATATATATATATGATTAAATTGAAACCTCCATAACTAATTCCTTTCCTATGTTGTTTATATATATATATATATATATATATATATATATATATATATATATATATATATATATATATTAGGGTAGTACTTGTTTGCTTAGAGAAATAATTATCTAGTTGATTAAATATTTACTCATACTTATTTAGAGATCCATATATTTATGAATAAATGGACAAAACGTAACTGGTCCCAAAACATCAACGACACTAAAGCCATAGCTTTAATTTGCTATCTTTTAAATGGTAACTGATAGCAGGTAATTTAATTTACGGCCATTAAAGTTACCACTTAAAGATGTAGCGTTGTGCACTACCGCCCCCTCCCACCCGGTCGAAATTTATATATAATTGTAAGTGCAACCTGGATGTTTTATTTGCCCCCCCCCCCCCCCGCCCATTTCCAGAAAATCATGTCTCCCACCCGGTCGAAATTTATATATAATTGTAAGTGCAACCTGGATGTTTTATTTGTCCCCCCCCGCCCCTTTCCAGAAAATCATGTCTGGGTGCTCATGTATTTATTTTATCGTGTTATGTGATGTAGGTAGTCACAGAGCAAAGTTAAAGAACATTGCCTTTGATAAACCTATAAATAAATAAATAAATTATATATATATATATATATATATATATATATATATATATATATATATATATATATATATATATATATATAAACACTGTTCGCCTCTAAACCGAATCAAATTCTGAAATTAACCGACATTCAGTCTACTTGACAAACTGAAGACAAAAGCGATGTCTTGGAAGCCTGCAAAATCAACAGCCACAAGGAGTAAAGAGGATTACGTCAAGTAAGTTAGTAAGTCCAGTCAAGCCTTTACCACGGAAATTGTAAGTGCAACCTGGATGTTTTATTCCCCCCCCCCCCCCCCCGCCCCTTTCCAGAAAAGAATGTCTGGGTGCTCATGTATTTATTTTGTCGTGTTATGTGATGTAGGGTGGTCACAGAGCAAAGTTAAAGGACATTGCCTTCGATAAACCTATATTTATTCTTTGTTAGTCATTCTTATTTAGAATGTTTGAGTAAACATTTCGACACAATACGCTTACACATTATGTCTTCTAACACAACATTCAGCCTTACAGATGTTACAGAGGTGAAGTTTTTGTAACTATTTCCTCTTTTTGTGTTACCTAATTGCACCATAATTGCTGAGGGGATAGAAGTATTATATTATTCGAAGTTTAAATTAAAATGCCCCATTTTCTGTTATGCGTTATTTATATTACGCGCACGAACCATTATATTCGTTATCAGCAGAGAAATGTTATTTGATTAATTTAATGAAGATTTATTGAAATTATGTAAATATATTTAATACTACAATAGTTAAGTTTGAATTCTCAAAAAGTCTACACTGTTGTTAGATGATGTTTTGAAGTGCTGCTTTCGTTTTAAATATAGATCTAATTATTTCTTTTTACGTCGGATAGTTTTGATGTATTTCGGTTATTAAATTCTGTTAATATGGTCCTCTTAGCTACAACTTCCGTAATATTCAGATAGCTTGTCCAACTGATAGAAATAATACCCGGCTTGTTATAGTTTGCATTATTAGGAGTTTATACAAGCATACAGCTGTTAATTTTAACAGCAAAAACTGGATTTATCTAGATATATTCACTTAACACCTGCGAGACATAAGATCTGAGTGCTGGGGTAAGAAAAAATGCCATAAAAATTAATTTAAAAATAATGTCGACGGACCTACAAAATGCAGCCGCTGTCCCAGTGCAATGGACCAGTTAGACTTTAGACGAAATGCCTTCTATCATTTTTGTTTACTCAGATTAAAATCGTGTTATTTTTAATTTTTTACCTTTAAAGCAGTCCTGAAATTTTACAGACTTCAAACCTAACGTAAAACAAAAATTTATTATTTTAATTTTATTTTTAAGAAGAATCAATGAAAAAGTTGCAAATGCAGAAACTGGAAAACAGCAGTTTAATTTTAATTAATAACTTTAAGAATAGGGCCTACATATTTTGTAAACAAATCTACATTTCCATAGTATAGGATACTATTCCATATTTAATTATTTTTCTGTTTAGTTTATAGTTTATAGATCTAGTTGATCTAGTAGTTTATAGGCTAATTAATTATTGAATTGTTTCTGCCTGTTTCAAAAGTGTAGAAATTACTAAAAAATATCGAACAGCCAAATCTTTAGTAAAGTCCAACAAAAACAAAATAGTAGTTTAATAACCATATTCATTTTAATACTATCATACATGATTTAGAAATATTTAATAGACCATTTGAGACTTTTAACGCTGGGGTCTATTGAAATAAATGAAAATAAAATTAAAATGATTTAGGCTAGGTCTTTAGCTAGTCACTGGCCTTATCAATCTACTAACTCTCATACAGTCAGTGGTTGATTATTCAGTAAATGTAGGCCTAATTAGTGTAATATTATATAGACTTAAATGATGTTTAGTGTAATAAATCTAATATTCTAATTCTAGTGACATTCTATTATGGTGTATATTTTAGATGCAGAGAATCAGAGTGGGCCTAGTTGATGTGCCACTAATTAATAGGATTTTCAATTACCTTGCCTTACTTAATTTCCAGGCTATATCCTCACTCTTTTAAACATAGTCGATAAAATTCATCATTTCCCTTCAGGGAATGTTAAGTTAATATTTATAGATTAAGTTCATCATTAGGACTTTAGGTTAGAATGTGTAATAAATAATGACAAGCAAAAAATGAAATTGAAGTAAAAACACTTAGGCATACATTAGAATAGAAACATGTGTAATTAATAATGACAAGCAAGAAATTAAATTGTAGTAAAAATACTTACATCAGAATAGATACGTTAAAAATTAGTCAAACCTACTACAGTCAAATATTTTATAAAAAGTAAGTTTTAATAAGCTGATTAAGTTGCTGTTAACATAACCTTTCCATTGTGCCGGTCTAACTTAACACCTAACTTCAGAAATTTACACACAAAAAAAACCCCTCAAAATTCTAAAAACTATAATTCTAAAAAGTATACTTATTGATTAGCTGTGCTCCAGGTTAACAGACCCTATTTTTTGCAATTGCTTATAATATTAAGGTACTTTAGCCATTATTTTAACCACATCAAAATATACATAGGGTATTGCTAATAAAAAAGCAGGCTTTTTCTGTACTGTTGAATTCTTTATATATTAAGAAAAATGTAATAAAACAGTATATAATTGCAAGCTTTTATTTATGAAAAATTGTATGATCAAGTGGCACAGGCTGTCCAAAGACTTTCATGTTACGAAAAGATGTCTCCTCTCACCACTCTTCTTACTGTTAGTTTAAAATTGTGTCAAGAGAGAATTCTATGCAGTTTCAGGCAAGGCAATTCAAAGGACTGACACAAAAACTGGAAGACTTTATATTGGTTGATGTTATAGCTATACTTTTGCACAGGCTTAAAGACTAAAACATACATTGGAAGTCATAGCTTCAAGTGAGACAGGAAAAACAGTAGAAATGCAATCTAGGAAGAAAATGGTCACAATGGTTCAGAAAATATATTTGCAACAGGGCCTTGTAAAAATTATGATGATGATTACCATTTATTAGACCCAAATCTAAGTTACTATCTATATATATAATTCTCTTCTGGGAGCCGTTAGAAAACAAGCTGCAAGCGCTCCTTACAGTCCCCTCTCTTCCTCTCTATCGCTACCACCCCCCACCCCCTCACATTGTCTGGTGAGCTGTGGTTTCATGCTGTTTACATTTTACAATCATAGAGACGGGTTTGGTGACGGCTATTAGGGGCAGATAATTTAGTTTGAAACGATTTTAAACTTAGAGGAGGTAACTAAGAGGAGGCTGCTTTCAGTGGCAGCATTGGTACTGTCGAATTCACAAATTATAAATTACTGAAAAGGAGAAAAAAAAACAACTAAATAGCGGCGTATGATACGCAGCGGGTCGGCTCGTTTTTTATAATCAATATAATCAAGCCTAAGAATGTAGGAACTATTTATAAATGCATTATTCAAGAGTCTTTTAAAATTACTCATACATGACCAAGCATTACAGATCAGAAGCACCTTGTTATCTTAAATTTTACTATTATATGAAGCAATTTTACAGTAAAATTTCAGTAACTAAATAGACATTGGTTTCCAAATATTTTGTTACTGTTCCTAATCTTGAATTTAATAAAAAAATCTTTCTCCCTTCTTTGGAAAAAATATGGTGCCTGCATATGTCCTCTGTGTCATTCCCCCCTCTATAATTTCACAAAATCTTTTTGAAACTGCTTTACTACAGAAAACTGGGGGCAAGGACATTACCCCCCAAGCTCAAAGTTCAAGAGTCCTGACCTTAAACCTAACCCCTAAGTTGCCCTAACTCCAACTCTATAATTTAAGCTAACCCTCAACCAAACCTAACCCTAACTATAGACCTAATCTTACCTTAATCCTAATCTTAAGCAAAAGCCTAAACCTAAGCATTCACCTCAGTCTAAATCTAAATGCAATCCCAAACGTAGAAATAAGTCTAAACCCCAACACTAAGCCTAGCCTTAGCCCTAATCCTAATCCTAACCCCAACACTAACCCTAGCCTTAGCCCTAATCCTAACCATAAGCTGTGACGGGGGGGGGGGGATTTGTCCTGTTCCTGGAAAACTGTATAGACTATAATATTGTCACCTGAGATACACATGCGCTAAGTAAAAAAATAAAATATCGAATAGCTGAAAATCAATAGCAAAAAAATAAAAGCTGGATACAAATGTTGCTGGATACATTAAACTTTATGTGGCACAAGCATTTTATATTTTCTAAGTTTGAGGTTTTCTGTCACAGCCTTAAAATACTTGAACTTGAAAATTAAGTGTACTCTGTGCTTGGAACACCAGTTCCTCAGTGAACCATGCCTGAGTGTCAAGCATTAGCTAATTTTTGCATGCCTCACTGATGATGTGGCATATCACCTGGAGCTATTGCCTATCAAATGACCAGGTGTTTGAACATGTTGTGGATTAGATTCTGGTCACTGTGTGTACCATTAGTGGTGCAAAAGGTGTCTGTTACATTAAACAACCTAAATATATGCTTGCCTGTAGTTGAAGCTTTAATTCATCGGCTGAAGTTCTTCTTTTTTCATTGTTGATGAAGATGTAGCATAAAATTTTTCTATTTGCTATTTATTATCTTTCAGTTTAGCGCATTATATTTTATAAAATTATTTACTTAGTTTCCATTTCTGTCTATAAGTATTCTTAAGATAACATTTTATACATATAACATCTTTAGTTTCAAATTTAGGATGTTAATTTTTATTTTTTATTTTTAAATTTATTGCCAGGTATATTACCACTAAAGGATTCTTACAATGTCCAAAAACACGGAAGTGAAAACACCTACAGTAAATGGCAATGAAAACACAGATCACCAGAATAACTTGCCATCTTTAAATTGTACATCTCCTTCTAAGGGCAGCAGTGCTAAAACGCAATATACACAAAACAACGGTATTGACCAAGAGACGGAAGAATGTAATGCATCTCAGAATTGTGTAACAATATTACAGAAACCACAGAACTCCTTCTCTAAAACCAGCAGTGTTGTAGAGTCACATGACCATATCACTTCAAGCAAAGAGAACCAGTCAGGTGTCATTGAATCGCAGGTCAGTTATAAGAAAGACAAGAGGATGTGTGCAGATCAGCATGCTACATCCCCCAAACACCTCACTGGTGAACTGACTGTGCCAGTGTTTTATCGGGGCAAGGGTGTTTTGATCACTGGGGCTACTGGTTTTATTGGCAAGGTTTTGATTGAGAAGTTGCTACGTTGTTGTCCTGAAGTGGATTGTCTATACTGTTTGATCCGACCCAAGAACAAGCAAAGTATACAGAGTAGACTGGATGAAATCACAAATTCAAAGGTAATTTATTTGCAAATAATTTTTTTCAAGCTATTAAATGCTGATGGGGAGACAAAGCAGTTTTTTTTGGAAGGTTTTGTGAACTCTGTATTTGAAGGCACTGTGTGGTACCACTGGACTCTTTTGTCCTTACTTTCCCTGACTAGTCAGGTACTCATCAGAGCTGGGTAGGCTCAGCGACATGCTACAATCTTGAGGTTGAATCTAAACTTATTTTATTAAAATCCTCATTGGGTGCCTAGCTTCATTAATGACAAACAGTTCAGTCAATATTTTAATATTTTCAGTTCTGCAGCTATATACCAATGTGTTTCTGCAATTACTTTATTGTCATACACTTAACTTTAACATGGCTCTGTGCCAAAGATGTATAAATCTACTCTTTAAAATAACATTTCAGCAACAAATAACAAGCATAAAAAAATGCATTATCTGGTTTCAAAACAAAGTTAAGTTTTGATAAATAGAATTACAGTGTAGACATGAGTTTCGTGGCATTGTGTTCATTATGTTCCCCAACTGATAAATTTTAACAAGTCCATGTGTGTAATATGGATATTTGTTAAAACTGGCATATTGCTAATTCCTGTTATGAGATTTTAGCAATAGTTTTGCATTTTTGGGATCCTAAAAGTCTTCACGAATAATTACACATTGAGATGCTTTTGCAAATTGGTGCCATTTATTTTTAAAAATTATCTTTTTAAGATTAATTGAAATACTCTTTTAACCCTACATCTATGGATGCTTAAATTATCTAATCCAGGATATATTGTTGTATTATTTGTTCTAAAGATAAACTACTAGTGTATGATGATTTGGGTTCTATTATCTAAACTGTATTGGTTTAGATAAGATAAAGTGTTTTGAAAATGTATTCTATTTTGTTCTTCAATAAACCCCATTATTATGGCAAACACGACTAATTAGGAAAAATCTATTTGTTTTATTTTTGTGGAATAACATCGTTAATGAGAAAATCTATATTTATATTTATTTCTGGTAGCTAATGAGGCTGGGTTTTTTTCCCCTAGTTTTTATAGTTTTTTTTTTTTTAAATTAGAGAAGTTGTGTTTATAGTGGGTCTAGATTTTAAAACTTTGCCCTGGTTTTTCTTCTTCACCGCCCTGCTATTTATATTCTGTTCTATAAAAAGGAGTCCTGGGACTACAACCTGTGCCAACTTCTGATTCTATATGTTTAATTTTTTCCCCCCTTTTTCTTGTATTGTTTTAACTGGCATCTTGCTGAATGAGATATTGATTATGTGTCCAGATTCACTTTTTTTATACCACGAATCTTACTCGTTCATTTTGATCAGAGATGATAATGCGAGTCTGGGGTTTGGTAACTACACTTATAATACTAGGAACGGGTACAAATCTAAATTTAGCATCGATGTAAACTAAATTTTAAGCCAGTTTAGAAGAATGCATAGTTTTTGTTGTGGGTGGGTCATCTGTCTGTGAAGGTCTAATTTTTCCCTCGAGTGATAGCATTATGGAAATATATCCGGATATCTGCTTGATGGGTGATTCTACAATGTCAATTGCACAGCGCTATCCTACCAACGTCTATTGCATAGCGCTATCCTACCAAAGTGTATTGTATAGCGCTATCCTACCAAAGTGTATTGTGTGGCTCTACCACACCAGTGTCTACTGCATACTACTAAATCTCTTGCATAGCGCCATCCTAGCAATGTCTATTGCATAGCGCTATTCTACCAAAGTGTTTTGTGTGGCTCTACCACACCAGTGTCTACTGCATACTACTAAGTCTCTTGCATAGCGCTATCCTACCAATGTGTATTGCATAGCGCTATCCTCGGTCCTACCAATGTGTATTGCATAGTGCTATCCTACCAATGTGTATTGCATAGCGCTTTCCTACCAATGTGTATTGCATAGCGCTTTTCCTACCAATGTGTATTGCATAGCGCTATCCTACCAATGTGTATTGCATAGCGCTTTCCTACCAATGTGTATTGCATAGCGCTTTCCTACCAATGTGTAGTGCATAGCGCTATCCTCGGTCCTACCAATGTGTATTGCATAGTGCTATCCTACCAATGTGTATTGCATAGCGCTTTCCTACCAATGTGTAGTGCATAGCGCTATCCTCGGTCCTACCAATGTGTATTGCATAGCGCTATCCTCGGTCCTACCAATGTGTATTGCATAGCGCTTTCCTACCAATGTGTATTGCATAGCGCTATCCTACCAATGTGTATTGCATAGCGCTTTCCTACCAATGTGTAGTGCATAGCGCTATCCTCGGTCCTACCAATGTGTATTGCATAGCGCTATCCTACCAATGTCTATTGCATAGCGCTATCCTACCAATGTCTATTGCATAGCGCTATCCTAACGTCTACTGCTAAGCGCTATCCTACCAATGTGTATTGCATAGCTGTACCAATGAAGACTCTATATTGCATAGCTCTACCCTACCAACGTGTATTGCATAGCGCTATCCTACCAATGTGTATTGCATAGCGCTATCCTACCAATGTCTATTGCACAATGCTATCCTACCAATGTGTATTGCATAGCTCTACCCCACCAATGTATACTGTACGGCGCTATCTTACATAGCATTGCATAGCGCTACCAATGAAGACTATATTGCATAGCTCTAGCCTACCAATGTGTATTGCATTTACTACATTCCTACCAATGTTTACGGCTTAACGTCCTCCGACTAAGATCTATTGCTTGTTATTTTCTGGTATCTGTAAGTCTATAGCGCATAGGCCTTGTTTATCTTACTATTAGAAAGACAGCCCGTGTTTAACTAGCATTCACCCGACATGACATGATCGCATATAACAGTGGTCCCATCTTGCACGGAAATGTAACGATCGAGGATAATCCTACGAGCTACATTCGCTTATCACAAGGGCGGGGGTCAGGCGGGTGTGAAATACCTCCTTGTACAGTACTTTACACGCATCGCTATGTATATACTGTACACACAGAATACAAACTTCAACTTCACTGTATGTGGCTTGTGGTGTACGTAAATTTCGCGCATGCTATCTTTACAATCCTTGGCCGTCTATGGTATTTAATTACTAGCCATATAATACCTTACACCCTCTCCTTTTCGCTAAGTATTTATAATGAACCGCAACTTTACTGTGTCAACTTATCTCCCCCCCCCCTCCATGTACTTATGTTGTAATGTTAGTTAGCCACACTTGTCGGTGTGTTTCTTGTAGTCATTATCCTGTAACGTAATGAGCCACCGTGTTAGAGAGAGCAGGTAGGACACGTGATTTTACTGCACGGAGGCGCGGAGACACAAGTCTGTTGCATTGTTTCGTGTAGCCAGCTTGTTCGTTTTTGTCTTTATTCTTGCGTGCTGTCTAAATCAGTTTACATCAAAGCGCTCTGTCATGTGGAAGACACAACGGGAGGGGGGGGGTCGCTGAAAAGCGTATTGGATTGAACAATCAGGTGTCTTTTAAAGTATTTCAACATTTTATAGTGTATACACCACCGCCGTATGATAGTGTCACAAATTTATACCATATAACGAGCAGTGATTAAATAACCGTTAATGACAGATGGTATAAGAAAAACAAGCGATGTTTTCATTTTAGCAAGCACTATTGCTGTTTCACATTTTGATTTGACCTGCTTCAACACCCCTTCTTCTCCTCCCCCTCCCCCATTTTGCTTTGTACCCCATGTCTCATTAGTTCCAGGCCGCTATTCTTGTCGTTAAGATTAGATCCACATTTTCTGTAAGCAAACTGCTTTATTCACATTTCTTTCAGTCTTCTCGGCCTGTGATCGGTCTTTCGTCGTCTGTTGGTTTTTAAAGCAAAGATCGCGTCAATCAATATTTATACGGGCGTTGGGTGTTTGCTACAAAAAAAAATCCAAATGAAATCTGATAGTAGGCCTACAAGATTCAAGTCCTTGGGTTATAGTTAGACGCAGTCGGTATAACGATTGAGGACGAACATACCCGAACTTGTTCGGTGACCGAGGACGAACCTACCCGAACTTGTTCGGTGTCTAATGACGTTCATACCCGAACTTGTTTGACGACAAGCTTCAAGTTAGGTTCTCTTCAATACGCCAACAGTTGTTTGTTGTTAATATAGGCCAAATGCATTTATTGTAAACACCGTGCGTGTTTGGCCTACACTTTTTTCAATGCAGGCTTGCCGATGTTTTTATGAATGTTTGTACAGTTTGACGTTTTAAAAAAAACTGCACAGTTTGACATGTATGGGGAGCTGCTACGATAAGGTACACTCCCTTGTTTAACACTGAATCTGATGTGTAGTGGAGAGTATGGGAATATCGACGTTTAAATGTTGTTGTTTTTTTTGTTTTTTTTTTTTTAATAAATAGGGCCTATACCAGTTCAACAGCGTGTATTTAGCCATTCTGTCTACTCCCAAAATTTTCAGTTTTAACTTTAGCTCAGAAATTTCGCTTACTCAAAAAAAAAAAAATTTAAAAAAATCAATATTTTAACTAACATTAGAAATTCCGTCTACTCCAAAAACTCAGTATTTTAACGTTAGCTTAGAAATTTAAATCCCGTCTACTCTCAAATCTTTTTATTTCATTTCAGTTATTGTCATTTTAAGTTTCTTTGAACCTGAAACGTATACATACATTTTACAATTAATGGAGGAGCTCAGTAAGAGGGGTGGGCTGTCTAGATTGTTTTATCCACCATCCTTTGAACAGTTTTCAGATATACACCCATTACAGATTATCTATATATCGTAATATCAAGACATCAGGGCCCTTTAACATAGTGTTTTTCACCATACGGGCCTGTGACACGCCACAATCTTGGCTGAGTAGCTGGCTTGATGATTGACGGCAAGTCAAGCATATCGCCTCAATGATTTGTGTGGAGGCGATGTATGTAGCCCAGGGTTCACACAAGCCCAGCACACGTCACGCTGTCGTCAGGTATTCGTGGACTGCTGATAACGGGTCACCAGTTGCTTTTATCAGTAGATCAGTGGGTCAACGTGCCGAGTCCAGATGCCCGGGGCATTCTTTTTTTTTTTAAACAACCGTCCAATGCACTGAGGTCAAGCTCTGGTTAACTATACACGCATTTTTTTTTTTGCGCTGTTAGGGATTTTTTTTTTTAAATCGATAACCAGATGTTCCAGTTTAAAACCATTTTATATTCACTTTATATGACTAAAGGGTAATAACTCCCGTTGTTACTCAGAGCAGTGGTCCCCAAAATGTTCTTCTCTCCCGTACCCGACAATAGAACGTTGTTTAGGAGTGTTGATAACAAGTTTAGAAATTACATTTTAACGTCTGTTGATGCACACTCAAGACACTCATGATAATTAAACAGAAATAGGCACCATTGTTTTTTATGCTTGTGTTGTTGATTTTTGAAAATGAATATTAGGGGAGGGGGATTTTATGCTGATGTGTGAGAGTCATAAATTGTGATGTCACAGTTTTGAATTTTAAAAGGTATTTTTTATGTATTAAAAATTAAATCCATGAGGTTGACCCAGCTTAAAAATCAATATTTTTAAAAGAACTTGCTGTTTCAGAAAACACAATTTGCAATACAAGGGAAAGTGGTTGGCTGAAGTAGGTGTCATTTTGGAAGAGGATGGGGTTCATCTATTATTGTAATGGGGATAAGGAGGGTGTGAAAGTTTTTATTTTTTTTTTATTTTTAATAGCATTTTTGGATGACACCTTAACACAGTGTTTCTCTAAAAATATGTGTAGCATTTCAAATCTCCTTTTGAATAATTAATTAAAAATCTACTAAGGTCATTCACTACCTTTAAAAAATGTTTTATCATCATTTTTTTTTTATCTCAAGTCATTAACATTATGTCCTAACTCTATCTTAGTATGTCATCCTAATATCTTGTTATCACTTCTTCCAGTTACGACTGCCCAAAGCTTTGTATTGTAATTTAAAAAACTATTGCCTAATTCAACTAGGTTATTTTTTTATTTAATATTCACTATTATAATTTAAATTCCCTATTGCTTTAAACATAAAATGGCATCCAAGACTTTCAGGTATTACAATGATTTGAATATTTAGGTTATCTAAATGGATTCCTTGAACAATCCCCCCAAGCGAAAGCCTGTATGAAAATAGTTTTGATTGCTAGTGTAGTGTGACATTTGAAAATGTGCATTTATGCATAAGCAAAACTGAGGGGTTGCAGAAATTTGATTTTCTAGCCAATATGTTATAATACAACAAAATTGAAACTTCAGGAAACAATCATTTAAATTCAACTTACTATCATTTAAACTATTGTTTCAATTTAAGTTTTATTTGAAAGAATTTAATATTTTTTTTAATGTTCAAAGTAAACGGTCAATTTTTTAAAAATTCTGTTAAAATGTTAATTAATAGTAGATTTTGTGTGTGCCATAATCTAAAATAATTTTTAGAGTTTCAGCAAAAGAATAATTAGCAGCAGAATTTTACAGAATTGGACTGATTTTTTTTTTTATTTCATGGCAAACAACAAATTTTTGAATAAATATAATTTTGTGAGAAATTCGAAATGTTTTTTTTTTTTACTTTCAGCTATTTGACAGACTGCGTAAAGAGAGACCTAACTTTGCATCCCAGTTGCGACCTGTTTATGGAGACATGCTGTTGCCAGAGCTTGGCATCTCTGATTCTGACAGAGAGTTCCTGGAACAGAATGTACACATTGTGTTCCACAATGCAGCCACTGTCAGATTTGACGAGCCACTGCGTGTTGCAGTCGAGATGAACGTCGTGGCTGTTCAAAAGATGTTGAACCTTTGTCGAAAATTTGTTCATTTAGAGGTTTGTTTGTTTTTATTAAGTGAAAAAATGAAAATTGGTAATTGTTATATGAAACTTGTACATCACATTCGTGAACTTCTAAGTCCCTCATAATTAACTAAGCTAAACTAAGTCCCCTTTATGAATCTGACAGTCCATTGGGCAAGTGAAACAGAGTTCACCTTTTTCTGTGACTTCAACATTTGAAGGGATAATATGGTATGCACTATGTCCAGCCGCCTTTTCTTTCCCTAATGTGAGTTAGGTACCCATCAGAGCTGGATAGACACAGGGTCGTTCTACTGATCTGAACTCAAGATTTTCAGATTAGCAGTCTAACTCTTAAGGGCTAGGCCATGCCGTTCCATTTATTATAAACTCTCTACAGAAACAAATTACTGAAAACCAAGGGCTTAAAAGGACTTATGTGCACTTGTAACCTACACACTGGATTTGCCAATGTTGTTAAGTTTTTTAAAGAACTAGTGCAGTAGTTGCTATTTTGAAATATATTAATGAGTCACTATCTATGATCCGGTTTAAAAGAAATAAGCTTTTTACCATGTATATAATCTTCTAAGCTAAAGTTATTATTTGTCTTCCAGGCATTTGTGCATGTTTCCACGGCTTACGCTAACTGTGATCGACCTTACATTGAGGAGACTGTATACCCCCCACCAGTAGAACCTCAGAAAATAATTGATGTGTTAGAGTAAGTCAAATTATGCAACTGTTATTCTTCTTTTATTATCATTTAAATTAGAATTAAACTAATATTTTAGATATTTTTTAAAAGTATCATTTAAATCAATATAAATACTATTATTTTAAAAGAAATAGGTTTGCTTTTTTAAACTTTATTTACCTACATTCTTTTCATTGATCTATTGTTTAAGTGAACTAAATTTTCTCTTAGATGGATGGATGATGAAATGTTGGAGCTGTTTACACCAAAGCTTATGGGTGAGAAACCTAATACATACACATACACTAAGCAACTTGCAGAACATCTGCTCATCACAGAAGGTGCAGATTTACCTCTGGCCATCATCAGACCCTCTATTGTTGGAGCTGCCTGGAAGGAACCTTTTCCGGTAAATCTTTAAAAAAATGAATAGTTTTACTTAATTTAGTAGAGCATCATATGCTAGCTTACCTGGAAGACAATCTTGGTATGTTTATCAAGGTGGTACAATGCACCAGATAGGAATCAAAAGCCTACTTCATACACACATTTCATAACGGCTGGCAAAAGGGGTGTTTGTCTTAACATTATTAATAGCATTGTTTGATCTGATTATGTCCTTATAAGAAAAATTATGTTATGCCACTGTAAGAGAAATCTTTAACTTGATTTCTATTAGTTATATGCAGCTTATAAAAGAAAATGCCAGTAAGATTGTGTAAACAAATGTAACATTCTTTGAAAGTTTTATTATTATAGTATTAATACAATATTTCAATAAATTATATTTCTAGGGATGGATTGACAACTACAATGGTCCAAGTGGTATTTATATTGCAGTAAGTTTTTTACATCCTCTGTTTTAAGATTGTTTACGCTGTAATCTTCTTGAGTTTCTACAACATTTCTTGTTCTAATTATTAAAGCCCTCATAGTATTAATTGTAGCTGTATTTAACATAAAACATTTATTGCCTATAAATTCCAATTACAGATGTAATACATTATAATGCAATATATATATTTGTATTCAATGACTTTACTTATGCAGGCAGGACGTGGTATTTTGCGCTCAATGAAAGGAGAATCCAATGCTATAGCAGACATTGTGCCCGTGGACATACCTGTTAACATTATGATAACTGTTGCCTGGTATACAGCCATAGCCAAGCCTAAGAATGTTCTTGTGTATCATGCTACAACAGGTGGTGCTAATCCTTTTACTTGGGGTGATATGAGTAAGTTTCAGAAATAATGTAATTATTTTTTTTTTACTAGTAGGGTTATAATAGATTTTGCCAATTAAGTTTTTTTTAATATTATGTTTTACATTGTGTTGCACTTCCATTTTACCTTTTTTTTTTTTCTTCACCCCACCCCACCCCTCAACACAGAAATTTAAATTTTTGTTTTCTTCCAGGTGGAATTGTAAATAAATCATTTAAGCATACACCTCTGGAAGGTTGCTTCAGGCGCCCTAATGTTGCCATTGTTAGCAACAGGTAATTTTAAAAAATTATTTACACTTTTTTGTATTATAGTGGACTTATTTTTTTTATAAGTAGCATTCTTTATATTATCTTTATCATTTAGTACAAAATTATAGTTTTGTTGATGTTTTTTTTTTTTGTGTGTAGCTTTCTTCATGATTACTGGACATGTGTTAGTCATCTCTTTCCTGCATACATTTGTGACATAGCATACAGACTCATGGGCAAAAAACCAAGGTATATTTTTTAACAGTTCATCTCTGTGTAATTTTTTATATTTTCTATACATTTGTCTCTTCAATATAAAATATAATTGGAAAGTGTTAACATAGTTTCAATTATTCAACCCTTGTTTCTTTTACAGAATGGTTAAACTTTATAATAAACTTCACCGCTCGATTGAATGCCTCAAATTTTTCACATGCAATGAATGGCAGTGGGCCAATTCTAACCATGATATGCTGAAGCATCAGCTCACTCCAGTAGATCTCAAAGTAAGAACATTGATATCTTTTTTGTTATTACTATGTTCACAAGTGGTCATCTTTAAATGATAGGACACAATGGGATGGAGTTCAGACTTATGTGCTACATGGGGGTGGAGGTTCATCAAGCGTACCTGGTATTTGGTTTAGATAAGGTTAAAATGATACCGATTTTTATTTGAATTATAGAGCAGAATCTGTTTTTTTTAGTGACAATGAAAGAAGGGGGAGGGAGTAAGTCAGCAAAGATGTGATGTTGCAACAAACCAAAAAGATTTTTCAAACAGGAATAGGGCACTAGCAGTTATTTTATTTATAAGACTAAACATTTGATAAGGAAGTATTGCTATGGTTGTATCCTACTGCTAGCACCACATTGCTGTGTACCACTCTTACACCACATGGCTGTGTACAACAGCTAGCAACACATAGCTGTGTCCAACAGCGTACACGACATGCCTGTGTTGAACAGCAAGCACCCTGTGGATTTAGCTCACCCGATTGTACTGAGGAGCCTTGTTTTACCCCACAATGATTTGTTTACAATAATACTGAAGGATTATGGTTATTATTGATTAAATGATAATTCCCTCCACAGATGTTTTACTTTGATCCCCTCCCTCTGCACTGGCCAACTTACATAGAAAACTATTGTTTGGGGGCCAAGAAGTATGTTCTCAATGAAGATTTGTCTGGGTTGCCAGCTGCTAGAGCTCACATTAGAAAGTAAGTTTTATTAAATCAGGACTTACAGTTCATTTTAGCTGAACTGTTTTTAACATATAATAAACCAGATATTAGCAACACTAAGGAATTTAACTAACAAAACAGCAACAGTAAAAAAAAAAAAAATTTAGTCAGACTAATGTCTAAAAATCTTAACCTTTTGTTAAAGTTGTTCTTACTTAACTTATACCTTTTCTTAAAGCTCACCTAATTTGTCTCATTACTTGAGTTCAGAATTATGACTATGTACTTTATTATACTTATTACTAGTTATTAAAGGCTTCTACTAAAAATATGTTATCATTCTTTAGCGTTGAGATTTTTAAAAAAATGGTTAGCTGTCTAATTTAATCAAAATATTAGCAGAGCAAAAAACTCACCACAGTTCTAAGAAATGTTTTTTTTTTAGCTTCATAATTCTCATTTTTAATGTGAATGCATTTCTTTCAGGCTGCGTATCATAAGATATGTATTCAACTCAGCTGTTGCAATCATCCTATGGAGAGTGTTAATTGCCAAGTCACAGTTTGCTCGCAACCTGTGGTTTTTCATAGTTGGTCTGGTCTTCAAGTTTGTTCAGTACTTCAGAATAACAAGCACCATGCAGAAGTCTTGAACACGTAGACAATAGGAAATTACTTTACAAATTATAAATATTAAACCATTTCCTTAAGAATTTCTTTTCTTACAGACTATGGCATTTAAGTTTCTTATTTTAAATAGACTTCATTAACTTGACATGCATTTTATGAAAACTGTCATCTATTTCAGACTGACTTTAATCTTAGTATTTCCAGCTTGTTTAAAATTATGTGCTGTATGTGTTTATAGCTCTTTATAAATCATTAAGTGAGAGTGCTGGTTTATTATTACTTTAAATTATGTGACTATTAATCCAAGTTTTTAATTTTCAGTTTAAGTACTATGGGAATGTTTGATTTTCTTACTTTCAATATATGTGTGAACTATGCTGTATACATAACAGCATCTTGTAGCTGTATATGCATATGTATATAGATATATATATATATATATTTGTATAGGTACAGTGTTTTCATAATAAACTATCCTTGTAACAACTATATGTAAACAAGTAGTTTTAAAAACATGGCTGTATTTTAAATACAGTTATTTAATGGTGAGACAGTTCAGGTTGTTACAAAACTGAAGTTTCTAGTACTTAAGCCTAACATCTTTATTATAGACTGTTATTAAGATGTTTGAGTAGTAACCAATTTGAGAACAGTAAACAATCTTGAGAAAAGTTTAGCCATCCACTTGAACGAATGTCTAAAAAGACCCATTTAAAGCCCAAGTTAAAATTGTTATGATTGTCAGGAATATTGGTACAGTGGACACAGGCAATATAAGATTTCCCAAGGCAAGTTAAATAAATTACCGGCTAGCATCGTAGATAATTTTTCTCTCTAAAGCATTGTGTGACATTTCTGCGGGATAGAAACTTTTATTATTATTATTTAAACTATAAAAATATGCCCCATATGTAACTAGCCGTAACAATTTGCAAACCTTGTATAATTTCAAATTAATCATTTATTAACAACCTTATGAAAGTTACTTTAGGTAATTTTGTTTTATTTAAAGATATGCCAAAATATCTGTTTATCAATGGAATTTTTTTAATGTTTAAATTTGTATCCTTTGACTACAGAAATTAAACCTGAATTATTTGCTTGTTTACTTAAAGTAATTTTTTTTAATTACAAACTTATATTTGTGTTTACTGTAGAATATAGCTGTCAATTTTATTGCCTTCTGTGTCATTGATTCTCAAGTGAAGCAATACTATTGAAGCCTTCAGAGACTTAGATTTGTCTGAAAATTAGAACAATAAACATAAATCTTCATATAAAGTTTTGACTACTGCAAATTGTATTTATACCAGTTGTAAAATTTATTCCGTCATGTTGTATAGTTTGATATGTTGTTAACCACATATTTATCTTTAGTTTTTTTAAATAAAGAAAGCAGAGCATTGAAGCAATGATGCTTTCTTGTCAGTGACATTGCCAGTGTACTTGTGTATTTATTTTGCTTTTAATTGACCGTTATGAAAACTTTTGAATTATTTAACCTTGTTTTTTTATCAAGCATACAAATCCTTACTTAGTAAATTTTTTTTCCTTTTGATTTCCTTAATATGCTCATTTCTTTGCCTTCACATAACCGTAACATTTACCATATATATCTGTTTGTCAGGCACAGTACAACATTCAAAGTGTAATTGGTTGTTTTTTTTTTAATTGACGGATTTTTTTTTTATGTTTTGCATAAATATTTCATTGTGACTCACAACTGATGCGTACATGTTGTTGTTCTTCTATCTCCTGTATGTCAATAAAAATGTTTATGCTACATTTTTCAAAGTATATTGGTATTTATTTCTATCAAGGTTAACAATTCACCATTAACTATTTTAGCATTTCTTAATTTTTTAAAAGTGTCAATTAATCCGTGATTCCTAGTTTTGATGCCTTATGTTTTCTCCACATGGTTTATTTTATAGAGATTTAGAACTTAATGAGGTCTTGGCAACCATTCAGAGACACACACTCCTTTTGTAATGTGACATTCTGTTTTTTTTCACTCAGTCAACACAGTTTGATAAGTATTTCGATATAAATATCAATTTGACAATGATCAGTGTTGTGCGTCAACCCTTGTCTTTTAAAAAAATTATTCTTAGTGGCCCTCTAGAAGTGTAAATGTGAATTTTTAAATCGAATTTATTTTGCTGCACAAATGCAGATGAAAAGAATCATTTACTAATTAAAGAGTTTTAAAATTCTAAAGAAAGATATACGAAGATGATTTATTAAGTGAAGATAATTTTTTTTTATAGCTTTATATGCTAGAAACTTTGGTTTTTTTTTTTAATTTTTTCTATCTTTTTTGGTTCAGGGAATTTTTTAAAGTGAATTATTTATTCCAGTTGGAAAATATACTGAAAAATATTTATTAGCAAAGGATTTTTTTTAAAGTTATGGTGCATGTGATCACTGGCAATAAAAAGAAAATCTTAAGATGTATCATAGTTTTAGAATGTTTTCCATCCAACAAAAAAATACAAGGGCTTGCATCTTAAAAAAAAAATGTTTAAGTTTTAAAAATACACAATTTAAATTAAAAATTCTGGCAGTTCATGTCATGACAACCCTAATTCCAGCACTTAGCAGTGAGATTACAAAAAAACCATGTTATTTGTAAGCATGATATCCTAGAAATTAGTTCAATTCAGTTTAATAAACAACAGAGATTGTACATACAAAATGAAATTTGTCTGAACAGTTTTGTTTTTAGTTGTGGGCATTCATACTTCTGAAATTTCTGCATGTATTGTTTAAAATCCTGAGTTATTGAATTATATAGATATCTTTATTACAAATGAACAAGTGAAAATACTTTGTTTATTGTTATCTTAAGTGGTACACACTTTCTTTAATTAATTAATAATCATTCCAAATTTAGAATAAATGTAGTAATTAAAGAATTGCATTTTCTTAGTTTCTTTTTTATGCAATTTAAAGTTCACAGTACATTAGTATACAAGTAAATTGTGTGTGTATGTCTAAATGTGCATTTATATATATATATATATATATATATATATATATATATATATATATATATATATATATATATATAATGGTATAATCCTCCAGCGTTTGATGTTTTACACCTCCTGCTTTTTTAAATAAAGCAGAACCAGAAGACATGGAAGACTGATATCAATTTTTTGTGAGATTTGTGTAGTTAATTAAAGGATCAATCTAAATAACTTTTTTACTCTTTTAAATTTAATTTTATAAGTTTCATAAAAATCGAAGTCTCAAAATTTTATTTTAATCGGTTAAGTAAAGCAAGCATAACCTAAATACTGTTTATTCAACAGTTTTTATTAAGATAAAAAATTAATAATAGTGTTGTTTTACTTTAAAAACTAACCCAACTAAAAAAAAACTTTGATCTGAAGACACGCATACATTTAAATTTCTAACCTAAAAAAGCTCATTTTATTTCAAAGCAGGAATTTAGAACATGTTTTATTTTTAAATAAATAAAATCTAATACAATAGGAATTCAGGCTTCTTTATAAAGAAAAATCACAATACCATACTAGAATATTTGATTTTATGATCAATTATAGTGGTTAAGATATAACCTTTACTAAATTAAATTAAATTGTAATACTTTATTGTGTGCTTAAATATAAATTAGTAAACATCAAGCTGAAATTTTAATTGATTTTCAGTTTTGCCTTGTACAAAAAATTGTAGTTAAAAAAATAAAACCATAAAAAATGTGCAAAACTAGATGGAAAATGTTTGTTGAGCTATATTGTATTTAAATCATTTATTGCTCAATGAAATTGTGTGTACAGGCAAAAATATTCATCTTTACTTGTATTAGTTTTTTGAAGAGTAGGTCTGTAGTATAGTAGTTTATACTTTGAACCCACAACAAAGCAAAAAAATAACCTAAATACTTTATTAAATTGTATTTGTGAGGCAATTCAATATCAGTGCCTGCTTCAAACATCTAACATTTGTTTTGGAATTTTAACTTTCATAACTAGTTAAGACAATTTGTAAATAAGCATTTTAGTAATACAACGTGAATACCCAGCCCTACTCTGTAAATGCTATTGTAATCATGCTTTTAAATACCTTGTATAAGCTGTAATGTTATCTCTGAATCAACAACTTTGTAAGATTTTTAGTTTAGACCATTAGAGCTAATTTTTTTTAAATCTTAGAAATAGTTATAGACATTTACTATGTTGGTTTATGTGATATACTGGACAAAATATTTCACATCATTTGTTACCATAGTGTAATAGTTGTATTTTCTATGTATACCATTTTGACTTCACTCTTACAAGATCACTTGTATTATCTTTTGTTCTGTGCTTAAGGCCACATTTGTTGGCTCATTAAACTTTATTTTATCTTTTAGGGAGGTTATTTATTTTCTTTATGGCATGCCAGTCACGGTGATGTGATCTGGAGGATGACAGAAGAAAGATAGGGGTTATTACAGAAAGCTCTTATATGCGACCTAAACTCCAGTCAGATGCTAGGCTAACTGAAAAAAACAGTCACACATTTTAAGGTTTTCCCAAAGAAGTAATTAAGTTAAAACACTATTTCAATCAACAGATTTTATTATAAGCTTTATTTGGTTAAAATAAACAATTTTAAAATAAGATTTATTGCTAAGATGGAATATATTCTATTCTACGAAAGACAGCTAACCACTTGTCTCCTTTGTTCCTAGTCACCTTTTGACCCTCCTCTGTGCTGTTATAAATTTTATCAACCACAACATCATTTTCCTATGGTGAATAAAAAAGACTAAATTAATCAAAGCATAAATAATATTTTATTAATATATAAGTATATTAAGAATAGTAAAAAAAAAGCAGTAATAATCCTTTACTATTGCACATATCAAGGTACCTAAAATATAAACCAATCAGTCTTTGTCATTACATTTATTTGCAGTTAAGATCAGGACATAGGATTAATTATTATTCAGCGGTTTTCTTTGGTTATCTGTAGCCATTAAAAAACTATCAATGTAAATTGCACTATAACCATGACAATATAACAAGATTAAAAAATATGAAAAAAAAAATTACCAATTCCTCATCCGTAACTCTAGTGAACAAAGGAAAGTTTGTGAAATGCTCCACCATCCAAACATGAAGATCTTTAACATCTGTTATTGTGTAGACTAAACCCTAGTAATACATAAAATACAATGTTGTTAAAACTCTAGCTAAACAGGAATATAAAACACTCATTTTTACTTAAAAAATCATTAATATAAATCATTGGTATATTTAAACTAGCTTTGAAATTTTAGCTGAAGCAAAACAACTGATAAAATCATGATTACTGTACAGTGGTAAATTGATAAGAAATTACAGTTTAAAAATTAACTTAAAGTGAAGTGATTTTTAATTTCACAGATCATTTTCAAAACAGTTCAAGTGTTCCTAATATTTTACAATACTACAATTAGAAAAACTCCTTTTAGCAATTTAAAATATTTTTTATCATTACTTCCCTTTGTCTGGTGGTATAAAGTTCAATAGTTTTATTGGAAAGAAGAGAATTGACTTAATAAGAAAGCATTGAATAATTACAACTAACCCCAACTTTTAAAACATATGCGTATTCTGCCAATAAGGTTTTATTGACAATGCGCCATTTGTGCTTTGCTTTCTTAAAGTGTGGATCGGGAAACAAGAAAAACATTTTTGAAAGCTGAAAAAAAAAGTACAACAATCTTTGTGAATAGCTGAATTTTATAACAATCATGTTAAAGAATGTTTCTATTTATCTAAAAAAAAGTCCTAATATGAGATTGCAAATTAAAAATAAGTAATTGAACCTACCTGAGCTTTGTGGAAAAAATTTGGTAAATATTTCATTGCGTTTGACCTAATACAAGCAATATTTTCATATTGACCAGGATGTTGTAGTCTTAAGGCTTCAATTCGTTTTTGAACATAATCACTGACTTTAACTCGTATTTCCATTCCCAACATAAGTGTGTCTGGGAACATTGATGACAGTGCCACTGTTTTAAAAAATGATTGAAACAATACAAGAAACAAAGTTGAAAAGAATTTTTTTTTTAAATGAAACATTTAAATAACATTCAAGAGAGATAAATGAATTAGAAGCATTTAAAATTAAAAGCATTCAAATATACATTTCAAAATAATATATATATCAAAGCAATTTGTTAACATATGTTAATATGTTAAAAATTAATTTATAACACTAACCTAACAATCCTCCATAACCACAGCCAATATCAGCATACTCCACTTGTTTTTTATTGATTGTAACATCTTTATCATCTATATCTCCATCCTTGTTTGAATCTTTATTCTTCTGAGCAAAGTGAACAGGGTAGAACTGGGACCAGTCCATAGAATCAGGACAAACAGGGCTAGGTAATTTAATAAAAAAACATTATTAAACACAATCTATTATATCTACAGAATGAGAAGGTAAAAAGATTCCACAGACCTATTTTAAAGGAGTTATTAAAGACAATATATCATTTTAGATAAACATTTTCAAAAATATGTTCAAAAATTTTTTTTTATAAATCTTAATATATACCTCAGTCTAAACAGTATTTGCCAAGTCATAAGTGATATTTTTACATAAGGAGTCATCCATTTATGACTTCAAAATTTTTTATTTTTTTTTACCCCACTTTCAACTAACCCCCCCCCCCCCCCCTAGTGTGGACGTCCACAAAAATTTAGTAGACCTCTCAAACAAGCTGCAAAATCACTGATTCATTAACATGTAATGTGTACATACATTGCTATATTAAATTATTAACTGATAGGCCTAATGTTATAAATTATAATTATAAAATTATAGGCCTAAAGGGATTTGATATTTTCGGTAATATCTTTTATTCCTATAACTAGATCTAAATAACTAAATAATTAATACTAATAGTTTCGCTGTCTGTCTATCTATCTATCTATCTATCTGTCTGACAAGAACGCTCTAGAGAAAAGACAAGCAATTTAAAAACATGCACAGTAATTCGAAAAACGAAGTATGACGTCGACACATTTAGCACAGAGTAGAAAATAATCTCAAACCCAGAGAGTGCTCACAGTTATATGACGTCATTGATTTTCGCGTTAACATTGAATAAAAAGGAAATGTTGTCTAATCTTAATGGTTTGCGTGAAGTTTCTTGCATACAATTCTTCGGGTAGGGGCGAAGCCCCACCCCCCGCGTAAGAACGTCTGAGCCCCCCCCCCTCCCCAACTCAAAAGAAATTTCTTCATCGATACTCTATAACAAAATTACCGCCTAATTAATGTGTCTAATCTAAAAGGAAATGTTGTCTAATCTTAATGGTTTGCGTGAAGAGTTTCTTGCATACAATTCTTCGGGTAGGGGCGAAGCCCCACCCCCCGCGTAAGAACGTCTGAGCCCCCCCCCCCTCCCCAACTCAAAAGAAATTTCTTCATCGATACTCTATAACAAAATTACCGCCTAATTAATGTGTCTAATCTAAAAAGTGGTTTTCTTGCAATTTCTTTAATGCAATTCTTCGGTTAGTGGCTAAGCGCGACACCAGTGTTTCTTTCAGACTTTTTCCTCCCCGGAGAGGGGTGGGGGTAATTGAAATTTTCGAGGGCGGGGTTAGAATTTTCGGGGAGGGGGGGCAGACACTGGAAAAAGTATATAATTATATTTCGTTGAATGGGACGGTAGACATGTTTTTTTTTGGGAGTGGGGGGGGGGGGGGTGTGGGGAGTGGGGGGGGGTGGGGGGGGAGGTGTGAGTGGGGGGGTGGGTGGGGCGGTGGTTTCCTCATCGATACTCTATAATAAAATTACCGCCTAATTAATGTGTCTAATCTAAAAAGTGGTTTTCTCGCAATTTCTTTAATGCAATTCTTCGCGTAGTGGCTAAGCGCGACACCAGTGTTTCTTTCAGACTTTTTCCTCCCCGGAGAGCGGTGGGGGTACTTGAAATTTTCGGGGGCGGGGGTAAAATTTTCGGGGAGGGGGCGGACACTGGAAAAAGTATATAATTATATTTCGTTGAATGGGACGGTAGACATGTTTTTTGGGGGGTGGGGGTGGGGTGGGGGTGGGTGGCGGTGGGTGGGGTGGGGGGGGGGGGGGCTGGTGTGTGGGGTGGGTGTGGGGTGGGGGGGGGTGGTGTGTGTGTGTGTGGGGGGGGTGGGTTGGTTTTAGTTTAGAGAAAAGAGACAGCACTATCAACCTAGCGCCCGGTGTATCCTTCCTCAACGGGCCATTTTTCTCGTTAATAATAGGCCTAATAATTGGGAGTTCCAACTTTTCCAAGATGTCCCTAAGTCCTAGATCTAAATCAGTCTAAATAAATTGTGTGGGTCAACATCACTTTTGAAATTGTCCACGACTGAGTTAGTTTTAGTCCACTCGACTATACTGCTGGTAGAGTGTAGAATAGGGACTTGGATGAAATTTCATTTTTAAAAAAATAAAAAAATGTAGTAGCACCAGTTTATAGAGCTCATTTAGACAAGAACAAAGATACTTTTATTTTAATTTTAGCTCAAACGGTTACGAAGTTATGAATTTTTAATGTATTTAATTTTCGGGTTTTTTTACTATGGGGTTTTCTCAATTTTTTGCTTCCCAACTTTTTTTGGATGCGAACTAAAATCTCTGTAACTTTTTAAATAGCAGGTATTTTTTAATGAAAATTCACTAAGATCAAGCTTATGATATCATTAAAAGAGTAAGATAAAAATAATTGAATTGGATGAGAATGATCATAAAAAATAATGTTAACAAAGAGGGTCACCCCCCTAAAATTTTTGAATAAGCGTCTTTGATAGGCTACACACAATCTGTTGCCAAATTTTTTTATATGGAATATCTTACTGAAAATTGGCCTGAATAGTGCCAACACTGTATACATTAACAGAAAGTCAAAATATTTTACTTAGCTTATGTGGTTTTATTACAATGTTGGGCAAAATAAAAAAGTCATTTTTATTCTGCGCAACTACTTTTTTTGCAAGAAAGAAGTACAATGCTAAACTGATTTTAGATTACTTTGCTTATATGCAAGAAATATTGTAAACATGAAGGTTATTATATACTTTGATATTTCCTTTGTTCAAATTTGATTTTAAAAATATTTTATTTAATGAAAAAGGGGTTTAAACTCATATACCCCTCTTAATTTTAAACAATAAATTCTGCTATAGGCAACACATAATCTGTTGCCAAATTTTTATTATATGGAATATCTTAATGAAAATTGGCCTAATTGGTGCCAACATTGTATACATCCACACAAAGAAAAAATATTTCACTTAGCTTATGTGGTATTGTTACAATGTTGGTCAAATTTAAAAAGTCATTTTTGTTCTGCGAAACTACTTTTTTGCAAGAAAGAAGTACAATGCTAAACTGATTTTAGATAACTAAAATTGTATCTAAATGTTGTCAATATGCATGATATTTCATCCATGTTATGTGTATGTTATCATATAATTGATATAATTTAATTTACAATTATTGTTGAACAAATAATTTAATAATTGAAATGATTTTTATATTGGTGGAGTAAAGATCACCATTTAATGTTAAAGGTAAGTTTTATAATTTAGAAACATCTGTCATCTATTTAAGTGACATCTCATGCTGTGTGGATAACATGTTTAAGTCTGTTTGCTTGTATCACTTTTTTACTTTAAAAAATAACACCATCAATGATTTAAAAATGAAATCTGATTAAACATCTACTGAAGCTGTGTCTCCTCTGGCTGATAGCTTTTAGAACTTTAATAAAAACCAGCAACATCCATTCTTAAGTGGACCTATTTCTCCTTCATTGAAGTTGCTTATGAGTAGATCCACATCTTTTGATTCTCTATCCCCTTGCTGAACTGGTACATTTTATCTAGGGCCAAGACTAGATCTAGTAAAAAAGCAACTGAGATGTATACTACAGCAAAAATACAGTAGTATCATATGTACTTCAAGACAAATAGGCCTACAGATGAAGACAGAACATTGAACAAGGATTGTAGAATAAATAAATATATAGACTGGAGTGTATATATTTTATATAATATTATTAATTGAGATTGAGATGGTCGATTAGTTGTTTGAACTTCACTTTCACCTTTGTAAACATTGTTTTTGTACTAGTGTAGGCTACACGGCTACACTAACCGTACTAGAGCAAATTACACTGTCCGGACACACACCGCGAAAAAACGCAACTTAAAACTTCCATGCGGTCTCATTCAGTAACCGCTTAACATAGGAAGGAAAAAAAAGTATCATATCTATCCGCAATCATTCTACTTTAATAATGTGTGTGTCATTTTGTATTCATACGCATAGAACTTTAGCTATTCTTGTTATAGTGACTGGGGGGTCTTAACATGTGTTCGGACACATGTAATACAATTTCAAATGTGTTCGGACACCTTTACCCGTCATCGGACAAAGCACTTTTTGTTCATTTAGAATAATTTAAAGTCAATTTAATGAATAAAAACATATATTATATGCATTTATATTGTGTTATTGATTGTTTGTGAGGTAATTTTAATAGTATAAAACCTTTTTCCCACACTCCCAAAGTTCATCCCATTCAGCCATTGCGGCTCGCGCAGTACGCTGCTAAGCCAGCCAGGTCACATGATTCCCCCTCCTCTTTCGCATTCCACTGCATTCTTGACCTTATTTTGACCCTTTCCCTTCAATAACCAGCCCCTTTTATGCTCTAAATTCTTATTTAATAATATTTTTGTGTTGCTGTCCGGTCCCATGTAAGGTCAAAAAAGTTAGCGAACACCCCATTTTTATTGTTCAAGCACAAAATAACCCATTAACCTTGACATTTACGATGTTCCATACATATATAGAAGCTATTTATAGTGTAACCTTTTAGCTAAGCGTTGATTGGTTCAAGTTTTGCCCCTAAGTCCAACCCTAGGTCACTTCATCCGGCTGGTGTAAAAATAGAAATGTGCGTACCATGCAACGTTAAAAATTTTCTAAAAATAATTCTTGAGAGAGGAAACGGAAGTACTTGACACGGAAGTGTTCATAAATGAACAGTTTACGTGCAGGCGCCGTTGTTTCGCATGAGACATGCTAATTAAAGTTTCTATGAGCCAAAAACCGACGAAGTGTTCGGTCCCATGTAGTGTTCGGACAATGTAATTTGCTCTAGATCTAACTTAGTACTAAGTTTACTAAACTAACGACTAACGTGACTTTTTTTTTTTTAGTAGCGTAATTTTACTTACTAGTCTAAATTATGGTCTGAATTTGGATTACTGTGAGCTCTTTGACGAAAGTACTTCTTTTGGGGCAATTTCGTCTCCATATTTCTTTTAGAATTTAGAATCTTAACATAGACGTCTAAATTTTAGATCTAGATCTAGATTCTAGACCTCTTGTGTTGGTACAGCTACAAGGTACACTTTTGAATCCTGTGAAACCATCTGTGGAGAACCTATTGTAATCAAAGCAGGGTAGTGATTCTGTTAATAAAAGAAGATTATGACTCGACCTTGGCTATTGCATTGTACTGTTTTATTTGTATCCATGGATATTTGTATGGTGTACAGAGAAAAATTGAATGAAGTCACTAAAGGATGTTTATAATGTAGCTTTTGAAGAATAGGTTAAATAAAAGTTAGCATCTCTGTCTCTGGTAAACTAAAAAAGTTTTATACGACATTGTTACGGCTAAATTGATTTTACGTTGCCGTAATGAAACTAGCTAACAATCTTATTTGTTAAAGATTATCGAGAATAAAGTACTAGATCTAGATCTATTACCGATGACCGATAGGGAGTAAGACAGGGCGGGGCAAAATATCTACAGGGGAGCGGATTACATTTTGCGTTATTAAAATCGTGTATTATAATATTAGGTCTATCTCTAAAATACTATATAGCCTATTGTTCTCATGCCCGTTGTGCGGGTTACTGCGATCTAGTCCTACACGGCAGCAGTGTTTCTTCCAGACTTTTTTCTACGGGGAGGGGGGGGGGAGCACTTGAAATTTTCGGGGGGCGGACAAAAATTTTCTATGGGGGGGGGGGGCGGTCACTGTTAAAAGTATATATTTTCTATATAAATTCCATTTCGTCCGGGGGGGGGGGGGCGGAAGACAATTCTAACGGAGGGGGGGGGGGGGGGGGGGCAGGGGCTTCATCAACGCGATATCAATCGTTCATTTTTATACCTGTGACCTTGTTTTATAATACGGAGTTATTTAAATGTAAACAAAGCCGGATTGAAAAGTCTTGTCTTAATTGTTTGTGCACGGGTTTGTCCATACTACCGGCCAGACGCCCCAGTGTACTTGTGTATTTTGATTGCCCTCCGTAATAGTGAGGTAGAATACCCTCAGCCACCGCCTAGATGTCATGGGCTCGATGGGCGCCCATCGCTACCAGTTACGCGACAAAGGGTGCCGGGTGTGATCCCTGGTTTGGTAAAATCACACCATTTCCCTAATGTAGTGTGCTCTTATATATATATATATATATATATATATATATATATATATATATATATATATATATATATATATATATATATATATATATATATATATATATATATATATATACACCATAGTATTCATATGGGAGCCCGCCCGGGGTTCTCCGGATTACTTGACCGCCGGAGGCCGCCCTTGTTGCAGTTTGACATTTGACCCCCCTCCCTTCCTATACGGGACGTTCAATCAACGGATCCCATATGCTTGAGAGCCGTTGTGAAAAACAGGGGGCGCCCAAGCGTACTCTATTGCCTATATGACGATCCTAGCTCGATTTGGTCATCGATTTTAGCAGCCAAAGGTTTTCCTTAGTGAAAGGCGATCTTTAAAACGAAGTGTGGAAGTGTGGGCAACAGTGTTTCTTCCAGGCATCTCTTCGGGGGGGGGGGGGGGACTTAGCCCCCATCCACAAAGTCTATATATTATATAGAACATATATACTTTTAACAGCCCCCCCCCCCCCCGGAAATTTTTAGTCCACCCCCACCCCCGAGAAAAAAGTCTGGAAGAAACACTGGTGGACAAACCCATGTATATATCAAGGAAATATAGTGTCGACATTATTTACCTTTAAATAACACTGCTCTAGGAAATAAGATCACACGTTTAAAAATAAACGGTTACGCGTTGAATAGACCCTCATGAAAAGTTGCGTCAGTTTGGGGTGTATAGAGCTTTTGAAGATGCGTAGAAAAACCTTCTAGTTTTAAAAAACAAAATATCGTGTACCCATAAAAACTAAAATAAATAAATTAACTTAGCCCGACCTGATATTTTTTCCATTGTAAAATTAATAAGTTTTCAATAAAAATTACACGATGTAAATTGAATGTTAAAGTAAGTCTTTGAATTTCATTTAATTCTTACTTGTTTTTTGTTTATTTTGTGGGGCGGATTCTGTATAGCGATCTGTGCCAATGGCATACACATGTAAAATCTACGCCTCTAAGCACTACACAAAAAGTCAAAATAAAAAACCACGTAACATCTACAATTCATTTTCTAACTAGATTCTAGATCTAGATCTAGATCTTTTTTTTTTGTTGCATACTCATGTCGTCACTCTTTCTGATTCCTCCCCCCCCCCCTCCTCCCTCGGCTCGCTGTACATCGACAAAAAAGTTGTTTATAGAGTGTGACGTCGTTTATAGACTACATCTTGGCACTTCAGAAATTTTCGATTTTTATAAAGGCCCCTATCTTGAAAGGTTTCTACAACTTTCTTTTTAAAAAAAAATAACATTGGGCCGACATACAGAGGCACAAAAAAAAAACTATTTTAAAAATAAAATCTTTGTTTCGTTCCGTATGACGACGGAAGTAATCGATAAAAATACAAATTTTGTATGATATATTATATGCCAACATCACAACTTGTACTTCTATTTACTTACTGAAGCCAAATGTGGAAGTAAATTTGTGTTTATCCGCCTCGGTTTTGTTAACAAAACTATCATGGAGGCAGATTTTGACCCAGAGGATAAGTACAGGTGAGTTTAATTTATATCATTTATTAACTCAAAAGTGTGTTTACTTAAACTAGTATTAGATCTACACGCTGAGTTTTAAATATAAAAATTTCAACATTCCGAATTCAAATGGACAGGCCGTGATTAGTGATTGCAGCAGAGAACTGAAGTCGAAGTCATCTCATGGCGTTGTGTTAGTTATTTATTATTTAATTTTAATTATTTATTTATTACTTTTACACCTTATACTACTTACTTACTTCTTTATTACCCTACTGTTGCAAGTTACAGTATTACTTTTATTAGGATCTAATGAAGAATTGTATTTCACAAGTTAAGAAAATATAGATCTAGATCTAGATTCTAGATCTAGTAGATTTTCTCACTAGATCTAAATCTAAAAGTAAAATGTAGGCAATTTTCAATTCAAACATGACCACTAAATAAAAGACATCCATATTTAATCCATTAGGCACTAATTTTGGAGTTTTTAGTTAATTTTTTAACTAAATTACTTAATTTAATATGTATTGCCACTCACTGCCATGACCCGACACACCTCTCCATGACAACATAACTTACATCTGGAGCCATGGCAAACCACAAATCGGTTCGACTTTTTAATTGGCTATGCACCAGAGTTCCTCACTAGCAATGAGCCAAATAGCGGTCACGTTTTTAAAAAAATAAAAATAAATTGGTTGTGATATGAACGCCGGTCTTGTAAAAAACAGCTCACAATATTTGATTTCTTTTTTCCTAGACTGATAAAACTAATAATGCTCTACATTCTCGCTCATGCCTATATATGCCTATATTTACTGAATTTGTTTTTTGCCTATATTTTATGCCACATGAATTCTGCAAATCACAGCAGAAGGGATCTACTTGGGTTGTACAAGTACTTCTAAAATAAGCTAAGGAACAATATTTTTTAAATTTTAATATGTAATACTTAATTGTGTTGGAGGAAATACCATCCAACAATACAATTAAGAGCAAACTTGAGGAAGATAGCTGCTAGATCCTTGGACAGTGGTTGCAAGTATACCAAAACATAGTGTTGCACATCCAGGAAAAAATTTAATTTACATTTAAACACATGACATAATTCAAATTTGCTCTTTACAATTAGTGTACTACAGTATAGTCTGTATAGAAAAGAAGAACCTTGTGATAATAACCTCGTTTTTTTTGCGCAAAGTTCCTTAAACAGAATTAGACTGTGGTCAGAAGGCAAAGCGTATGATTGGTAACATGAAAATCTTGAGGTCGAATGCAGGATTGAATCTAAAGGACATTCCTGAGTCCACCAACATTAGGGAAAATCATTTATCAAGGTCATAAAAACAACTGAACTCTGTTTCATCTGAAAGTAATGGCTTCAGATAACTTTGCTCATCACATGTTTTTGCCTCTTTTCCATAGCTTGTCAGGTTGTTAACCTTCTTTACTGGGTTTTTTTTTTCTGTTTGAGTTGGCAACCCCTCATTAGTTAAGTTAAAGTTCAGTGATTTGTAAAAAAAAAATACACTGGATCAGGCCTACTGCAAATTAAGTAATTGGTAGAGCTAATCAAAGTTCAGTATCCTTTCATATGCAGAGGTAAAGAAACATGAACTCTACTTCATCTGCCCAATAGATCACTAGGTCTAAGAGGAACTTTCAGTCAACGTAATTGACATCTTGATCAACTATAACCTGTAGTTTTTTTTTGCTAGCCAAGCTAGAGCAGGTAACTTGCACAGTTCAGTTACCTTGGGGAAGAAGCAGTCAAGCATATCATAAAAGCTACTAATTGGCAGTCAGTATGGCTCTAATTTGTTTTTACTCATGAATTGAGCACATTCAACTAATATGAAAGAAATACAATAGAAAGTCTGTGTTGAATAGACAATACTCAATAATTGGCAGATATGGAGAATTAAACACCATTTCATGAATGTCACACACATTCTACCATCTTTGTCATTTTGCAACCCACATTTTACTGAACCTCCCACTGTCCACAAGTCCAGCTAATTGCTTGGTGGACATCATAGACGAGTCCTGATTTGAGACTTCCGGGTTAGCAATCAATTTCTCTACCTTTTGACCACTCTTAATCCTAAATTTAATAATGGTTACAGTTTTTTTTATTTGGTTCAGATTACTTTTAATTCTAAATAAATGTATTGAGTTTGGGTCCATTTAATCTTTTTAAAAAAATAGTTATTTCTTAGGTTGCTTGCAGGTCATATCAAAATTTATTGTGCCATCAATGCTAATCTAAATACTTAAAATATTTTATATGATTCTGTATATCTTCACCAATAACACCTAGATTTCTTGCTAATTCGGAATTTCTTTTTGAAAGAAAAACTGATTCCACCATTTTTGTGTCAAAAAATTTCATTTGAAAAATGATGGTAAGAGCAGTAGATGTAATGTTGCAAGTTTGATCATCTCCATATACTATTATTAGCACACAAAAAAAAACAACCAATAGAAAATTCCATTTATGATAACCCAAAGTTCTCAAAATAATTTGTTTTATCTTACCATAACCGTTAGTTTCCTAATTTATTTGGGAAATGGCAGTTTGCATGTTTAAAAAAAAAGCTTACATGGTTTTATTGGTCCCTACTTCAAAATCAATCAGGTATATAATTTATTAATTTAAAGCAATTTTTATTCCTACTGTTCTTGTGATTTACTGGTAATATCATTCATATAATGTATTTCCTGTCATGTTACTGAAATGATATCAATGTTGGTGAGTAGTAGCATTACATTTTTAATACTAATTACACTGAGGTGCTGGTGCTTCAAAATTATCATGTATAGTATTAATACTATCTTTCCAACAGAACCAGTTGTTTCTTTTATAAGTATTGGTATCTGCTGTATAGATTTTAAGTATCAAATGTGCTTATAGGCAAGGAGGCAATAATTGGTGCTGAATTATACATTTCAGTGTTGTGGACTTAGCTGCCAACATTCTACTTCTAATGGCACTGTTGTTGTTTTCAAAGCTGCTAAAATGTCACATCAGTCAACAGATTTAAAAACAGTAAAACCTGGAGTATAAGACAATTTTGTGACATGAAAAATGTTCTGAAGGTTGAGACTCACTATATACACCATAGCCTTTTAGTGACAATGAGCCAGTTTTGGCAACTGTATTGCTTCAAGAAAAGTAGTATTTTACACATTACAGCAGCATTAAAAGTTCTAATTTAGCTTGATATTTAAAAAAGAGTTAAAAAATTTAACTGCACTTTTCCTCCAGTGTTGAGGATATTTTTGTACTTTGACACTAAGAGCAAGAGGATCTCTGGATTAGATATATCTACCAATAATCACTTTTAGGATTAAACCTTAATCCTTAGTAAAAATATCTAATCCAGACTATTGGATAAGGGAGACCAAGGTTGGTTTCCAATAACTTATCGCCTATTGTTTTAATTAATTACTATAAGTTACAAATACCTTTTCAGACCACATGGCCAATGGGGCAGATGAAGTAGTGTTGATCTGTTTCTCTGATCTCTGAATATAGCCCCAGGAATGTTTATTATTGAGAGTGTCATTTAAGCAGTGGCGTAGCAAGGTCGGGTGTCACCCGGTGCTGCACTTAATGGCGTCACCCCCCCCCCCCCCCCCCAGAGGCGTAGCGACCCTTCCCGGGGACAAACATTCAAACTTCCGATTTGCACCCCCACTCAAGTTTTTCTCTATATATTTTGCTATTTCTTGCCTTGGTGTCACCCCCCCCCCCCCCCCCCTCGCTACGCCTCTGCATTTAAGCTGAACACGAAAATCCTCCATTTTGGTTTAACACTTTCTCACTTAAATTGTGGTTTTGCAATTTTCATTAGGAAATTCAAGTGAGAAAAATGATATTACTAGTGGCAGAATCAAATGTTGAGTTAATTAGGTTGTGTAAGCGTGTGTGTCCTTTCCCTTTTGATAGAAAATTGACATTTCATTTTGAAAAATAAAATTCCTTTAGGCTCCATTTTAGTTGTCTAAAGCAGTTCTTCAAAGTTCAAATAAAATTTGTACCGGGGAGGGGGGGGGGGGGGCGATAGCGATGCTCTAGATAATATTTCTGGATCAAGATGGGTGTCGCTAGCTCATTTCTCTTCTTTATATTGACCTTATGCAGGGCCGGCGCTACCTATAATGCGAACAAGGCGGTCGCATAGGGCGCTGTCCGTAGGGGGGAGGGCGCCAAAATGGGTTGGAAAACAAATTGACGGTTTGGGGGGGGGGGGTGCAAATCGAAAGTTTGGGGGGGGGGGGGCTTTTAAGAAGTTTTGTCTAAAGCGTTAAATAACCTGGCGCCGGCACTGACCTTATGGAAGTATCCCTTTAAACTTGACATTGATCCAGAATGCATTCTGTGATGGAACTCGTTTGAATGGAAATTTGATTGTCTTTTAACCCATTTAGACTATCGCATGCTTTTAATCTTAACCGCTATAGTAGAACTAGTTTTAATTATGAATGAAAATTTGATAAATGTAATATTACATAAACTACAGCCTGTTTCAATCTGGACCCGATCATTCATTGAAGTACAACACGCAAGATACTTCTTTGCGTGACGCGCTATGTTCTACCCTCGCCTTAATGATAGTTTGAACCAGATTGGCGGGGGGCAGCGACCTGAAATTACTGCCGTAATAGAGCAGAATAACATTCGGCGTTGTTGTTTGTGGAGTTAATGGCTGGGTTATATCATTCAGTCGTCACGTCATGCTGACCGTGTTTTGGTTTTGTTGGATTGTCATACTGACCGTGTTTTGGTTTTGTTGGATTGTCATACTGACCATGTTTTGGTTTTGTTGGATTGTCATACTGACCGTGTTTTGGTTTTGTTGGATTGTCATACTGACCGTGTTTTGGTTTTGTTGGATGGTCATACTGACCGTGTTTTGGTTTTGTTGGATTGTCATACTGACCGTGTTTTGGTTTTGTTGGATAGTGCATCCGTAGGCTTGTACCCATGAAACATGTGCTGGGAATGGTTGCTT